TTCATTACATTTCACAATTTGTTTTCTGTTTCTTATTTTGTGCGAATTTTTTTTTTTTATCCCCTATTATTTGAAATTGGGACTTATGTTATTTGAAATTGGGACACAGGCGTTGCTTTTTTTCTTAATTGAAATTGTTTCTTAGCTGAATTTGTGCCCAAATGGTACTCGTTTTGGTTCAATAGATGGTCTTCATCGGCAGATTGATCTAGCAGTGACGATCGGCGACAACGATGGCGGCGACGATCAACGATGTAATTTCTGTTGCCGAAAAAACAACTAAAGTTCTGTGGTTTGGCAATTTACAATGTGTGAGTATCGTGAGGGCTGAGATTAGATCGCACCGAAACTGAAACTTGTGAAGCTCTTCACCGAACTGAAATTCTTTGTTGCTGCAGTACTTTTCTGATCACTTGCTGGATTGAAATCAACTAACCATACTTGAATTGTGGTTCATCGGACCTACTGTGCTCTTTGTTGCCTCTGAAATTGGAAATTCATTAATATATATATGTATATATATATATATACACACACATTAGGGTATTTAAGTCATTTATCATTGAAAGTTGAGGGTATTTCAGTAATTTTGACAGGTCCGTTAGTGTATTTAACGGTCCGTCACACATAAGGGAGGTCCGTGTAGGATATTTTCAAAAGTAGGGGAGGTCAGAGTAATTTCCGGAACAGGAAGGGTGCTGCCTGTAATTATGGCAAACTATAGGGGAGGTCTGTGTAAATTACCCTATTTAAACAGTAAATAGTAATTGTGTATACCAGTCTAACGGGTATTTCGTTTTGCCCCTTATTTATTTAATATCCAGTGTAATTATATATTACTATTCTGTCTCTTCAATGCAATGAATAGAATTTTCAGGCTAAAAGATGCCTTTCGTAGATGGCTCTTACTTTAGCGTTCTGTTCTGTTCTGTTCTGTTCTGTTCTCTGTGAGGCTTTCTAGTTCTTTTTTTATTGGTTGTGTGCATGTGTATGGAGGTTCTCTTGGTTCCCTCGTTTATCACCCCCACCAAGAGCCTATAAATTACTAGCGGAGGAAAAAGCAAAAGGGTGTGAATAACCCATATTAAATATAATCTATAATTTCATAAGGATCTCAAAATTTGCAAATTCATGTTAAAGTGGAAAAAGGGCATGCTCTGCAAGTGTGGAATGCTGTTCCCATCTTCATAATTTGAAGCAGCCTAATTCTTTCAATGAATATTAGTTCACAGGCATAGAAGATCTTTGGTCATATATTATAAACTACGATTTCGCCTACAGAAATAAATAGCTGTGAATTTTGATTAAGTTAGTTATTCCATCACTTTCTCCTGTTAATAAGCCATTAGCAACTTTGTGTTTGTTTTTATGCAGTATGTGATGATTGTGTTGAAAGGATCGGTACCAATATCATTTGGTGGGAATGAGGAGCCAGCAGCTTATGGTGAGTTGGTGTCCATTGGGGGTCTTAACACTGATGTAAACAAGAAGCTGAGTGCCGCAATTGCTGCGATTCTTGAAACCAAGTTGTCTGTTCCCAAGTCACGATTCTTCCTGAAATTCTATGATACTAAGGCAAGCCATCTCAGCTTCATAAGTTGTCGCTAAATGGGTCATTGCCAAGCATTTGTGTTGCGCATTGCATTCTTCCTGTTTGTTTAGGCCCAACAAACTCAAGAATATCTGAAATCATGAATGAAACTTATACCAGTTTTTTTATTTCTTAAAATATCGTTTTAAATACAATATATTTGCTTTTTCTTTTCATTTTCCACATATTTATTTGGAGTCATTTCATGTGATACACTGACTCTTCACGGCACTGAAACTTTCATTTATTTTTGCAGGGCTCCAACTTCGGATGGAATGGGTCTACCTTTTAGATTCTGCTCATACATCTGGTGTGCTATCTTGACATTGTCATGAACTCGATGCTATTCATGGAAGAAACTTTATCTGTATGATAATTTGAGGTCATAACAACTATGATAATGTGAAGGATTTTATTTAATTTTTCTGCCTGTGACGTGCTAAACTTATGAGGTGCTACTTTCTAGACTAATCGGAACATCATTAATGCTCCGTTTGATAGGAGGAATGAAAAAATGGATGGAAGGGAGAGGAGGAGGGATGGATGGATGAGGTATCCCTGTGAAAGGGATGGTGTCTCGAGGGATAATAATGGAAAGGACGGACAATGTGACACCTTATTTTGTTTGGTTAGACAGATGAAAAAACGTGTTAGGTGAGATTCTTCATCTCTCCTTACTTAATCCATTCTGTTCCTACCATGGAAAGAAGAGAAGCTTCTTTTGTACCTCCTCTCTTCCATCCTTTCTCAATCCTTCCTTCCAATCAATCATAGCGTAATGGTTGATCTTTCAGGATCTCTTTTACTAATGATGTGTAGAAACAGTCTCCAAGCTGACCTACATTATATGGAGTATTCTAAAGGTATCCATTTACCCATGGGTCTTGGATCATAATAACCCCGTATGCTAACTATTTAGCAGCAGTTAAGATTGGTCGAGAGAGACATTTATTTGTTCTTCCAAGTGGACCTCACCTGTTGGGACACGTTCTAATTGCACATTGCACTGTTAGTATGTTTGTCACTGTTGATTTTGGTCATCTTTTGCTATTTTCTTTTGACAGAATTAATTTCCTAATTGGCTACAGCGGTTTCTTTGTTAATTTTTGCCACCTTTTATTTTGTATATAATAATTATTTTCGTTACAATGAAAACAATAATGTTTACTTGGTAAATTGTATTCGAGGGCAAATTGAGATCGATCCTGTGTTTCTTGCCCACTTGGCTTCTTCCAGAATACTTTTGAGTGAATTTTTATACCAATTCTGATAGTTGATCCTTACTCTTCACAAGGCTTGTTTTATATCATTACCCTGATTTGCCTTTTTTTTAAATAAAAAAACAAAACCAAAAAAACAAATCACTTGTTTTTGGTAGAGTTGCAAATGAATCAAGTTGAATCTAGCTTGAGTTTGGTCGGGCTTTGTTTGTTTGGTTGGGAGCTCAACTCGAGCTTGACTCGGAATCGAGATAAGCACAAAAAGTTGAACTTGGACTCAATTCGTTTTATCATATTGAAAAGTTCAGGCTTAATTCGTTAATAACAAAAGTTATTCAAACTCAATCTGAACTTTTGTTCTAAATCGTTTTGATTTATTTATGAACTTATACAAGCCTGCAAAAATTTACAAGTTCAAGAATTTATACAAACCTATTTTTATAAACATGTTCATGTATATGAACCTACACGAGTTTATATAGGCGCAGACCCATGTAGAGATGCCCCCACTGATTATTATTATTTTTTTATTATTTTTTTATTTTTTGCATTATGTACCTATAAATTTTGTAAAATTTTGACAATGCCCCAATGAAATTACAAAAAAACTTCAATGGTGTCACCTCTTAATAAAGTTTATGAGTCCGTCACTGAGTTTTTGAGCAGAGTCCAATATTGTATTGGATTGACTCGTTTACTAAACGAGTCTAAAAATCGAGCTCAAACTATGTTTGTTTAAATTTCGAGTAGAGCCGAGTTATTTGAGTTACTTGTAAATAATTCGATTCATTTGCAGCTCCATGTGACGATATTTAGCTAATCTACGAGTTATTGTGTCATTTGAGCATTTGTCATTTTGCTACAAGAGGATCTGTAACATGCATGAAGGCATCTGGTTTCAGCTCTTCTGAAAAGTCCCTGAACAAAAATTCCAACACCATCAATACACATATTGACACACACTCTAGCATTACATTAATTTTCAAACAATTTACCTATAAGAGGTTTCTAATGTAACTCTGATCTAGATGTGATTGCAAAAGAATAAATACTCTTCTCCACAACTTCATATATATATATATATATATATATATATATATATATATATATATATTTGTATTTATATTTGGGTAATTAACATCTGAGATTTGTGCGTGTATATTCAGTTCTATCCATATTTCAGATGTTTTGATACTAGGAAATTCAACAAAACTAGGGAGTTTTGTACAACTATTTGGCATCAGTTTACTCAAAATTGGAAAACGTATAACTTCATTTTTCTCATTTAATTTTCTCAAGGTTTATTAGCAACCAGGTTAAGCTAATTAACATACATATAGAGTGGGGAAAAAAAAAAAAAGAAAAAAAAGAAAAATTACAGTCTATATTGAGAGAATTGTTCGGATTTATAGGCTCTTATGTTAAGAATAAGAATATATACTAAGAATTTTTATTTTTAATTAAGGCAAATCACATAAACCTTTTGTCTGCTAAAAGTACAATTATAAAGAAAAAAAAAAAGGTTCAATTATAAAGAAAGAAATACGACAATTTACAGTATATTATTTCAGATTTTGTTTTATCATACTTGACAAGTGGCTAAAAATTGTGATACCTTACACTCGGTTCTAGTATGAACTAAAAATCATTCCTAGTAATATATCTTCGTTCCCATGAGGCATCGAATATTTTGTTTGCCAGAAGCAACAACCTGTCCTCTTCTGCAGGGGAATGAAAAAATTGCCATCAGAGGCACAAACATTCCATGAAATCTCTCGGCAGAGAATATAATATCTGGCTTTTACAAAATTAATTGAAAATGATATCTTAAATGAAAGGTAGATATATAGATATAATGTCAAAATTGCCCCTTGGTTCCTTGGTGCAATTGCAGGGACTATTAGGATCATGGATCATCAATCAGTTCACATGCATCTAATGTATCAAACAGTGGGATAATTTTGTCCACAATGTACAAATTTCAAAAGCATTGTTGGCTCAGCTATTGTAGAAGATAGAAGCCTAAAGAAGAATATGGAAGCAACACACCGTATACACCATACCAAAGTTGATATTGTCTGGAGGAATAAAATATATGTACAGTCTTTTTGGCATGCTTTTGTCTCTACATTGTCACTATATATAGACAGTGTTGGGGGAAAGTTGAGCACAAAGTAAAAAAGTGAGGAACAAGTTTGAGAAAGGGGTAATGGCTGGAGAGAAGAAAAGTGTTCTTAGAGGTTGCATCAAGTCTAGCAAAGGACCTTGGGTGATTCACAGAACCTCCAAAGATGGTGGTGTCTTCACCAAGCTCCGATTCCCTTCTGATAGAGAGCGTCAGAACAACAAGGAGAGGGAGCGTAAAAGGCGAGCAGTAGCCCACAAAATTTTTGCTGGACTTCGAGCTCATGGAAACTACCAGCTCCCAAAACATGCTGATAATAATGACTTGTTGAAGGCTGTTTGTGAGGAAGCTGGGTGGCATGTTGAAGAAGATGGAAAGATCCATAAAAAGGTAAATATATATTTTTAAAATTTATAACCTCTTTTATTTTTATATATATATATATAAAATTTCAAAATCCATTCTAGCAATTTAAATATTATTTCTTTCATTTTGGTCTGTAGGATTCATGGGTGAAAATGCAAAGCTCCATCAACATTGAATCATGTCAACAATCCCATCAAGTTTCTATGGTTGCTCAATTTGAAGAAGAAGAATATTGTAGTTGTGAATGTGATGCAAATTTAGAAATGGAAAAATCTCTACCAACGACTATTTTCTGAAGATTGAGCATGGGATCAAGATGTGTAAATCGTGGGCGAAGTGTTAGTTTTAGGTAGTATAGTATAATTTTAGTATTCTGTTGGATATGTGATGTAAAAATATATTTCTCTAACTTTGAATTTTTTTTTATAATTAGATTCAGTTAATGAATTAACTCTATAAGAGTCAGTACTATATCAATTTGAAGCAAATATCAAATGGGAAGTGCAAAAATATCCCTCTGCTATCGACATAGTGCAAAACAGTCCCTGTGTGGTGTAAAACTCCCCTATACTATTAATTTGGTACAATTACACCCCTGTTCGCATAAAAAGACATTAATACCCTCTTTACTATAAATTTCTGGGTTAAGTGCAAAAAACCTCTGATATATAGGGTTTGTGCATAAATAGTCTCTACTTTTTGAAAATGTGTATTTCAATACATAAAATTCAAAAAAGGTGCAAATAAGCCCCTCTGACCACTTTTTGGTCAATATTGACATAAAATAAATTCAAAAATCCTATTTTGCCCTTTTTTTTTCTTCCTATTCTACCCTTCTCTCCTACACTCCACCACCACCATCACTATGTTTATTCTGGCATTCATTTCAACCACATAACCAAAGTTCAACGCCGATCTGTTGAGTTAACTCAATGCATCATCAAACAAAATCACATCACAAACCCAACCATTGGTGGCTGTTGGCGACAGTGAAGGACGACGAGTTCAGGACGCTGTTAATGTGTCATCGGTGATGACAACTGATGAGAAGGGTCTGAATCTGTTGGTGTTTGTCATCCAGTAAGGATGAAAGCTTGCTGCTGGAGTTTGGTTGGTAAAAGGTTAAGGTCTCATTCTACGACGCTAAGACGACGACCACCTCTGCCCCTTCCTCTCTCTTCATCACCTCTCCCTCCATCACTTCTACCGCAGCCACCTCTGTCCCTTCATCACCTCTACTGCCTCCGCGACTTCTAAAGTCGCCACCACCTCTACGGCCTCCGAGGCTTCTTCCTCCTCTGATCTGTAGCCCCTTCCTCCTCTCCCTCCATCACCTCCGCCACCTCTAAACCCTCCACCACCACAACTTATAAATCAATCAACCAAATACAAAGGAGGAAAAAAAAAAAAAAAATTATAAATTATCTAAAATGGTAATTTTATATTGCCTATTTGTTTTTAATATTATTTCATTCATATTAGAGAGTGTATTAATGTTTTTTTATGCGAACAGGAGGGTAATTGCACCAAATTGATAGTAAAGGGGGGTTTTATACCACACAGGGACTGTTTTGCACTATATCGATAGCATAGGGGGATTTTTGCACTTAACCCAAGGACAAAATAGGATTTTTGAATTTATTTTATGTCAATTTTGCCCAAAAAGTGGTCAAAGGGACTTATTTGTACCTTTTTTGAATTTTATAAACTGAAATACACATTTTTAAAAAATAAAGACTATTTCTGTACAAATCCTATAAAGCAGGGGATTTTTTTTGCACTCAACCCATGTCAAATTTAATTGTTAACAAGTAAACCTCCTTTATACATGTGAAGTAGAATTAATTTAGCAAAACTTGTAGGACCACCCATATATATAAATAAATATTTATATCTTGAAACTACATAAAGAATTCTATTAATGACTCCTTCATCCTTCACATGTAAATCTTTGATGTTTGGGTGAGTTTATAAGACTATTTCAAAGGCGTATTGGATCATTCCTTTAACAATATCTTCCCTTATTATCTCTAATCACTGTTTAAATTTATTTATTTATTTCTGAATTTTTTATATTCCCCACTCGAAATGGCCAAACCTTTTTTTGGAGGGAAAAATCCCCCTCCAATAAGAGCCGTTTACGTCATCTCAATACAAATTTATACTTTCGATCCTTTGATATAGTGTAAGAGCCCAATCCGAGTCGAACCCAAATTGCGGAAGTCCAATCCGGGTCGAGCCCAAATTGAGTTTTCCTTTAGACCAAGATCGCTAGCACTAGCCTTCCAGCCCATTAATCAAGCTCGGTTGGCCCAAGATGTATCCGATCCAAACTATTTGAGAATGAATGACTTCTACTAAGCAAAGGATCTTACATAAAAAGAAAGTTCTACAAAAGGAAGAATTTGACATGGAGATAACTGTAAAATGCAGTAATTTAATTAGTAAAGAATTGTATATGGAATTAATTAGAGGACAAGTGTTAGCCCCTTGACGGTTGTCCAAGGGAAGACATGGGCATTTCAAGGCCATGCCATGTCTTAGGAATACTTTGGCTTTGGTTAGACAGTCATGAGGATGCTCAGTGGGTTGTCAACGTGCACAAGATGCTCAGCGTGCACATAGGATGCTTAAAAGGATGCTCGGCGTGCACTGGGGGTGCCCAGTGGCACTTTCGTAAATATGGTGAAAAATGAAATGGCACTTTCGTAAATATGGTGAAAAATGAAACTTGGAGTTTTGACTCGGGATCTTTATGGGAAGTATCTTGAGTCCATAGAAGCCGGTTGGCGCAGACGGCACTCAATTTGGATGTCGGGAAAGGCCTGAAAGGCCATTATGACTCCTCAAGCATGGGTGATATTTACTCCTGTCAGAGTGCTGGATTTCCTTAAGACTATACTAGGGAGGGGCCTGTTGAGCACATCGGTTGGGCTATGGCATGGCTTGCTTAGAGGGCTTAACCAACGTGCATGGGCACGTGTTGCACCACTCCAAGATGGTTGCACAAGTGGGGAACATCCAAGATATTGAAGGGCAAACAAATGGGCACCGACACGCGCGCTAGTGTGCAGCGGCGCGCGTGCTGGCATGCAGGTGGACGCGCGGGCAGGCGTCCAACCTAGTGCGCGCAAGCGTCTAGCTCGGTATGCGCACGGGCGTCCAGGCGGGCATACAGCCACGGACGCAAGAGGGTTCAAACATGGCGCGTGTAGAAGGGCACTAGTGTGTGCGCCGACGTGCACTTTGGCATGCACCAGAGCGTGCGCATGGGCGTGCATGGCTTGGCACGCCGTGCACTCAGAGACATATATATGTGGGTGCAGATTGGTGGACTTGGCTTGGGCTAGGTTCACAAGGTTGACTCAGATGTGGTTAGAGCATGGACAACACAAAGTCATGGCTTGCGGTTACAAGAGGTGGTGGCTTAATGGGCTCGGTTGGTTGGGGGAAGTTACTAGCACTTCCCATTCATCATGGGAAGTGGGGGAGTGCTAAGTAACCTCCCAAGCATGTGGCACAATTATGAGAGGACCAACACACAGGCGGTTAAGGGTGGTTTCTTCCACTATGCAGAATGTAACTTCTTGTGGTTATGTGGCATGAGCAGAACATGCCAACAAGTCTAGCAGTTGGGCTTGTCAACTGCATTATAGTGCTGGCACATCTAGAGGGTGCCAGCACGACCCTAGGTGGACGGGGGTGTCATCCATCATCTTAATGGGCGGTTTTGAGAGTGGCCTATATAATGCTAAGGTGGGCTTTATAGAGGGGACAGAGAAGAAGGTGTGAGCCTTGGTTCCTTGTACGAACTCATGTTCCTTTGTAATATGTTTAATATGAGCAAAGGTTGGGGCTTGTCCCTGTAAACTGTGTGTGCCTTCTTTATATTTCTATACTGTGTGAATTGTGTTGTAGTGTTGGCTGAGACTTGGTGGCCCCAAGTGCCATTACAGAGGCAAAAATTCGTGGTGTAATTTAGCCCTGTAACAACAAGCAAGGCGAGTCTTACCATAATTCCACCACTTTTTGTATATAAATAGATGCTTAATCCTCCAATGAGATATATCGAACAGTATATGCTTTTCTCTCAATAGTTCTTGTTAATATATTTTTTTTTTTTTTCGAGTGAGTTGTATTTTTTCTTTAATTCATTTTTGGATAAGAGAAATTCTGCACCTACACTCTTGAAGTTAAAAATAAAAAAAGTCTAATTTTTCTCTTCTACACAAGAGAGAAGGTAAAATGGTGGAAGAATTACATTTCTATATCTTATTATCTCAAATTTTCTGAACTCCTTAAAGTTAGAAATTTTCTCCACTTCTCTTACATTCCTTTTCTCAAGTTAGAGTTAGAAGTGTTCTCTCTTTACTCTTTATTTTTTCTATAATATATTTTAATTTCTGTTTTACTTTGAAAAAAATATATCTATTTGCAAATCGATTAGTTATATGAGTTGTGTTTACTGTCTAATTTTTATTACAATTTAGAAAAAAAATTGTTATATATTTATTCTGTAGAAACAACATTCTAGAAATCATTCCAAAATCTTCAAGCAGATCCAAATATTGTGACATTATGAATGAATAATATTTGAGTTTTCTAACCTAATGAGCCACAATCTAAAAACTAAAAAAAAAAATTACAAATTAAAATAATGCCAGCTTTTACAAATTGAATGGCTAACTGTAACTTTAACGTTCTTTATTTAATTACATGCACGAATGAGATAGTACTTTTTTAAAACCTTGGACCTATTTTGAAAAGCAAACGAGTACTGCTAAACTACAACATTTAATAAATATTCAAATAATAGAGCACCAAAATTAGGATTTTCTCAAACAAAATACAATTATCAAAATGGAATGGATTTTCACATTCCACCACTTGTACTTCCATTTAAAAATTTCACTAATTGAAATGGCAAAATTACCCATCAAAACATATTGTATAGAATGGATATATTTTTGAAAGATAATTATGTCATATATATTCTTTTGTTAAAACAAAATAAAAAGACTAATAGAGTGCGAATATCATTGATCTAATCAGAAATTAAGTTCGATTTTCAGGACCTTCTCTAAAAAAGGTAGTGGAATCATCATAAATCTATACTTTTTGTACTTTTGGTGGGGGTGTATATAGTTCAAATTAATCAAAAGTGGACAATGTAGGCATAGAGGAGTTCATTCCAAACATCAGGCACTCCAGGAAGGCACCAATGTGTGCAATCAGCATAGCTCAAGGGATTTGACAATTGCTGTTTGGTTAGTGGCCTCCATTGCTTCCTGTATATGGATGGATGAGCATCCTTCCTATATTCTGAGAGTTGTGTTACATTCAGATATTGTATCTCTACACCTTTTGTTTTCATTCTTCTAATCACTTCCTCCACAATTCCCATCATTTTGGGATCTGATCCACTTCCCCAATATCCCTCTTCCATAATTGGCTCTCTTTCATTCATGCAATTTTGATCCCCATGCATGCCCCAATCTTCACCCCTGCAATATACACCAATTATACACGAAAACCGTCCTCTCGCTATTGACAGTTTTCTAAAGGGAAAGTCTATAATTGACGACATTGCGATACCAATTAAGAGATAGGGATGTGAGGTGGTGGATCTCACACACTCTCTTCTATCTCCTAATTGCCGTAACATCTTTTTCTAAAAGTCTATATGTAAAAATGTAAGTAAATCAATTGAATATAATGAAATAAATGCATGTTTTTCATACAAGTGGTGAGTTGCGGTCATGCTGACAAAATATAATCTACTCTTGGTACGATTGACGTGGGTGTTCAACCAATCTGCCCATGTCTCGAGAACCATCTTGTAGCAATTTGGCGTCTCGACTTCTTTGTAGGCTTTTTTAGGACTTTCAAATGATCCCAACCTAATAATCCGTGTATCCATTTTGAAATATTAGAGAACAGATTAAAGAACAATTGATACAAAATGCTGGTGAATTAGGGTCAAATGTTGTACTTACAGAACTTTGAATTTGGGAATTCTCCACCAAAGATAGGAATTAAAGACGAGTATGTCTGCATCACTCCAATGCCTTGCGTGCTTTTCAATAGCATCAGTTCTAACAATTGGATTGTCAGATCGATGTTTTGATGGATCATCAGCGTTAGACTCCACTAGCAATGGAGCCCAGTAAAAATCGATCGATGCATTGTATTCCTTCATTTAGTTGCAAATATCACATAACAAACAATTAGATGCTTTGCACAATGTCTTCGAGATTAGTCGGGATAAAGCCCCGAATAAATCGGTTATCGAAAAAACTTACAGTGGCCTTGAAAGTGTACAAGGAGTCATTTAAGCGCATAAATTTGAATCCTTGAGGAATGGATGACTGGACCAGACACACCATTGACACCCATTGGTTTCTGTTCACTGAATCCCCCACGAAAACAAGCCTCTTGTCCCTTAGTCTCTCCAGCAATGCTTTGCCATTAAATCTACCTTGCATTCATTTAAAAAATAAATAAATAAAACAGACATATATGTTTATATTTTCGCCCACACCAACACAAACACACTAGCTAGTAAAATGAGAGACCTTGGGATGTCACAATCATGGGGTTGCCACCTCCAATGCTGATACTTCAAGTCCTTCCTCCCAAACTTCTCACAAGCCAAATCATCAAACATGTAGGGACACTGATGATCTTTGTACAAAGGGTAAGACTTGTTATCAAATACCCATTTGCCCGAAAACAAATCACACCCCTGCACACACACACACACACACACACACACACACAAAAAAAAAAAAAAAAAAAAAAAAAAAAAAAAAAAAAGAGTTGGTGTCCAAAATGAACATTCATAGATGTCAAAGAAAATATCCCACCATTCTGATTCCTGGTTTTTTGAAAATGAACTTACATGACTTATGGGCGTCGACGACAATGAATTCGGAGGTACTCTTTTGCTCTCTTTGCTAAGAAAAATGGTGGCAATGACTAACACCATGAAGAAGATGCCTATGACAAGGCAATGGAAGCTGCAAGCTATATGGAGTTTCTTTGCCATGGCCAAGTAGTAGTACTCCTTGTTGTGTCTATTCTCATCTTCTGATAATTTTTTTTATGGAGGATCGTATGTATGTATGTGTTTGGAGTTTGAATTGACTTAAAGACATTAAAACTACAGAATCAATATTCCTAAGTTGTACTGCATTTAATGAGTACATGTCATGGGTTACAAAAGTAATCCTAGCAAGCAATTAAAAACATTCCAGAAAAGATACATATTTCAGGTCTGATCTTGAATCCTGAATCTGCTCAAAAAGAGTAAATATTCATTGAAGGTACTTAAAAAATTCCAGGCTACTTCTATAGTTTCTGAACTCTTATATGTGTATGTATGTGTGTGTACATGTATATATGTTTCGCTCTTGCAATGCCAACAACTGATGGTGACTGAGATAGTGAGATGCATATGGTCAAACTAAATTTCTACGGTTACTAATTAGTTGGGTTAACTAGGTAACATACCTTTTCTTTTGTTACTGCATTTTGTTTTGTTACTTTTTAACAAAAAAACAAAAAAAGAAAAGAAAATTTTAACCTCCAAAATTGAGTTCCGGTCACAAATACAATTATTTGTTAAAAAATGGTTCCGTCACTAATACATTTATTTGTTATAAATTATTTCTGTCACTACTACCATTCTTCTCTGCTATTAAATATATTCGTCTCTAATGTATATTTTTTACCATCTCTAATATGTATTTTTTACAAAAATCATTCATGGTAATTGTAGCTAATCATTCTCTACAACTAAATTCCTTGTAAAATAAGTGTCATTTGGTGTACGGTGTACCTTAGAACATGCTATAATTTTCTACACAATCCTCAAATTCGAATGATGTTCATGGGTGGCAAATGTTGGGAATTGGGATAGCAAATGTGGTAAGATAGTAATTTCCAAAAGTATATCGATAGATAGTACAATTCGAACCAAGGTGAACAATGATAATAAGGGGCCAGCTGGCATGGTTCGAAAAAGGGTTGCTTAATTTTATTCCTTTTTGTCTAAAAATGGGACTGCATTTAGGCGCTGGTTGATGTTGAGGTATGATTTTATTGGCCAGCTGGCCTGGTTCGAAAAGGGTTGCTATAAGCAATTTGCTGAAAATGTGACAGAGAGAAGACCAATTTGAGTTCGTGTTGTCAAGCTTCCTCAAAATGTACCATTAGTTTTCAAAGCGTATCCGATTCCATTTATATGCAGTCAGTTTCGCAGAGACATAATGTAATTTATGAAAATAAATATTTTGAAAATCTTTTAAATGCATAGGTTTTTAATTTTGCTTGTCCTTCACACATACCTGACTAAGGTGCCGTTTATTTTGTCATTGAAATTAAAAAAAAAAACGGTTTTATTATTAAAATTCAAAAATAAAATAAAATTAGAACTCGATCCTACACGTTTTGACACCAAAATTTACAAATTGTAAAATTAATATCAGAAAAACACAATTTGTAAGTATCTTCAACAATTTTTTTTATAAAATTTCATTTTATTTTATTTTTTTCTTAATTCTTAACTTGTAGAACCAAGTGGCATACACCAATAGAACAACTAACTCTCGTATCCAAAACTTTTGGTTTCTAGTCTTTTGATGAATACAAAATTTTACTCCTCTCTTTTCCTAAAAATAGACTAATACATTATTCTCTTTTAAAATAATTAAATTATTCTTTTAAGTTTGAATGATTATATGTAATCAAGTTAATATTTTTGAAAACTTAATAAGTATATATGAAAAAGATACATTTATCTTCTTTTGACTGTTAAAATAGAACAATTATTTTGGAACGGTAAAAAAAATGAACAATTAAGTTAGGACAGAAGGAATAGTGTCTTAAACACGAAAATATTTTCATTGCACTCGTAGCATCATACCACGAGTGCATTCAACCTTTTATTATCACCGCCCCAACCTTTTATTATTAACGCCCGCTATATCGTGTTACGACACATCCAACCTTTTATTATCAGCATATGTAACATACGTGTAAAAATATGTATAACACAGTCTAAACATGCCGTCACATGTTACATGATGCAATGAATGCAAAGAAAGTTTTCCTCCTTAAACACAAAGTAGCACCGAGATAACCACAACCATTTTGAATGCTTTTTGTTCAAGTTTTGTCATCAATTCTCATATACTATTATGGGTCTATTCCAATATGTTTGCGCTAATAAGTCTCTCTCATAACTCTTGAAATCATGTTTCCGAAAGAGAGAGACTTATGAGAGAAACGATTGAACAAAAGATGGTACTTTCGAGGAAATCAACACAAACATATTGGGAATTACGCTAACTTATTGGGAATTGTAGTCAATTTCTACAGTAAGTTGATCTTTGATTTTGAAAAGATTCCTTTTTCTTTTTTTTTCTCTTTCGGAATTTTTGAAGTAAAAATATTCTGTGTCCTTGTGAATGATCGGTATGCTCTATTAAATTCATGGTTGGTTGACCAAATTTTTTGTTAAGAAGAAAAATCAATCAAACAACAAATATCCCAGTGTTTGAGATCCAACGCTGGATGGGAAAACTACTAAGGTATTAAAGTAAGACTTAATTGTTTATTTGGTATCATGTCAATTTTGAGTTTTTGATTGCAACAAGGATATTACGGAACATTACAAATTGAGTGATGTGATTAAGACAAGAATGATGATAATTCGACACTTTAATTAGATCCCTCTACTTTTAATTATCCATTAGACTCTCGATTCAATTTCGAGTGTGACCAATTGATACACCATAAGAAAAATATTAGTTAAAAAATATTTAGTAAAAACAAAATAGAATAAAGTTGCAAGGATCCTAGTAGGGTTGCAGGCAAAAAAAAAATATCTTGGATTTAATTTGAGTTCAAATTTTAAATTCATTTGGTAAAGAATCAACTTAAATATTAATAGTGAAACAACCCACTAAGTAAATGTATTTTTTTTCCCATGTGACATGATATAATTCATTGATGACCCTGATTACCGAGAAATATTTATCCGTAAACATAACTATTTTATGTTATAATTAGTATTTTTCTTTAACAATTTTGATTTTAAGCTCGAATTTTAACTATACAAATAATATTCTTATACATGAACTCACTTGAGCTCAATAATCACACCCAATCTCGGACTCAGAACCGTCGAAAACTCGGCCGGTTTGGCTCGGCTCAAATAGTTTGCAGTTGCCATATCTATCCCGCTTATTTCAAGCATTCAAAATGGTTTTATATACATAGACGCTTATACTATATATATATAATACACACACATGCACAAACATAAATCGAGATCTGTATTCTCTACTATTCAAGAATTTGAATCTCTCATTCACTTACGACTTGGCTTCTCTCGATAAAGCGGAGAGAAACAAATTCAGAGTTGGGAGAGGAAGTGCAGAAACCCTAGCTCGTCTGTTTCTTTTCTCTGGTGTTTTTCGTATAAGGTATATCTCTATCTCAATCTCTATCTTTGTTATTAACTTATGGGATTTGAGATTTCTATTCTCTGGACAAAACACAGATCTAGGGTTTTACGTTTCCTGATAATGAAATCGATAGCTATTCGGATTTGGTTTTGACTTGTTTCTATGCTCTAATTTGTGTATGGATTTTACTTGTTCGTTTGGCCCTCACTCGGTTGTCCGATTGTTGTTTTTGGCTTTGGATTGAGGGATTGAGCTTCCAAGTCTTTATATTTATACTAGTTCTCTGTTTCTGCCCTTTTTCTCTATCTCATAATTTATTCGTCCCATTTCTTCCCAGGAAAATAGTTTCCCTGGTGTTTAATTTGAAAAAAGGAAAGAAAATTTAAAACAAGCAAAAAAGTTTCCCCAAACAATTTTTGTTGAAGCGAGTTGAATTGTCAAGGGATTTTTGTATTCACACGTGTTGAGAAGTTGTGATTTATCTTAGAGAGATGGGTTTCTTTGTTTCAATTTCGTTACAAAAGGCATAGCATGAGAAGAATAAAACTACCAACCAAAGAGAAAAACAGGGATTTCACAATTTGTCCTGGAATTGGCATCCCTAAATCTGAGATAGAAACCCACTTATCATTATCATGAAGGTTTGAATTGACATCGGCAAAACACAGATTCTCATGGCTGCAAGCTCGGTGTTGATGACATCAAATGCAACCATTTTCTGAAACCAAATGTGTAATTACTCATCACCACCATTCATTATTGTATATGGTCATCAAAGTAAATTGGCCTAAGGATGGTTTTTCAGTACCATTTTTCTAATCTGCACTTTATGTACTCCAAATGGAGCTGATGTGCATCTTATGCTTACTTTTCCAAGCATTTTTTTTTTGCCTGAAATAATATTCTTGATGTTTAGTATTTGGTTGAGTTGATATCTGATGCATCCTAGGTTTTCATTCATTTATTGCATTTTCTGTATATGATTTTAATATCATATGTATAATTTTGTCCATTGTAGTGAGAGAAAGAATGGCCTTCGAGATCACCCAATTTCTTTTGTCCGCTCAATCGGCGGACGCAAAGGTCCGGACGGAGGCAGAGGGTAGCTTGAGGCAGTTCCAAGAGCAAAACCTAACATATTTTCTTCTGTCTCTATCATTTGAGCTCTCAAACAATAACAAACCAATTGAATCCCGTAGATTGGCTGGTATTCTGCTTAAAAATTCATTAGATGCCAAAGATGCTGCTAAGAAGGAACATCTTGTTCAACAGTGGGTGGCAGTTGATATTTCTGTCAAATCCCAAATCAAAGACCTGCTCTTGAAGACTCTTGGATCTTCTGCGGCTGAAGCATGGCATACTTCTGCCCAAGTAATTGCCAAAATTGCTTCAATTGAAATTCCCCGGAAGGAGTGGCCTGAACTCATCAGTGTGTTGCTTGCCAATATGACCCAGCAAGATATGCCTGCTTCATTGAAACAGGCAACCTTGGAAACATTTGGATATGTTTGTGAGGAGATATCTCACCAGGATCTTGTTCAAGATGAAGTGAATTCTGTCCTCACTGCTGTAGTCCAGGGCATGAACGTTACTGAGCAGTGCCCTGAGGTTCGCCTTTCAGCAACCAGGGCTTTATATAATGCCCTTGATTTTGCGCAGACTAATTTCGAGAATGAGATGGAGCGCAATTACATAATGAAGGTGGTTTGCGAGACGGCTATGGCCAAGGAGGCAGAGATCAGACAAGCAGCTTTTGAATGCCTTGTTTCAATAGCATCAACATACTATGAGGTGCTTGAACCTTACATGCAGACTATCTTTGAGCTTACATCTAATGCAGTTAAGGATGATGAAGAGGCTGTTGCCCTCCAGGCAATTGAGTTTTGGAGTTCCATATGTGATGAAGAGTTACAGCTTCAAGATTTTGAGGTCCCTGAGAGTGGGGATTCTGCTCATCCGCATTCCTGCTTCATTGAGAAGGCTCTGTCATCGCTAGTTCCTATGTTGCTAGAGACATTGCTGAAGCAAGAAGAGGATCAGCACCAAGATGATGGTATCTGGAATCTCTCCATGGCTGGTGGGACATGTCTAGGTCTTATTTCTAGGACTGTTGGGGATGCTATTGTGGCTCTTGTAATGCCTTTTGTGGAGGCTAATATTTTGAAGACAGACTGGCGATGTCGTGAGGCAGCCACATATGCATTTGGCTCTATCCTTGAAGGCCCGAGCATTGAGAAGCTTTCCCCAATGGTTTATGCCGGCTTGGATTTTCTGCTTAATGCGATGAAGGATGAAAACAGCCACGTGAAGGACACAACTGCTTGGACTCTTAGTCGTATTTTCGAGTTGTTGCACACTCCATCTACTGGATTTTCTGTGCTTTCTCCTGCCAACCTCCAACGTGTTGTGGAAATTTTGTTGGAGAGCATTAAGGATGCTCCCCATGTAGCTGAGAAGGTCTGTGGGGCTATCTTATACCTTGCTCAGGGGTATGATGATGCTGGTACAAGCTCTGCTGCCCTCACTCCATACATTCCAGACATTGTAAGTTGTCTTCTTGAAACTGCTGATCGAACAGATTGTAGCGACTCTAAACTCAGATCTGCTGCATATGAAACCTTGAATGAGGTGATTAGGTGTTCTAATCTTATGGAAACGTCTCAAATCATAGCACAACTTCTCCCTGTCATCATGAATAAGCTGGGACAGACTATAGAGCTTCAGATTGTTTCATCAGATGATCTGGAAAAACAAGGAGATTCGCAAGCTCTTCTTTGTGGTGTTCTCCAGGTTATCATCCAGAAGCTTGGCAGTACTGATGAGACCAAATCCATAATACTGCAGGCTGCCGATCAGATCATGGTATTGTTCCTCATGGTTTTTGCTTGTCGTAGTTCTACAGTGCATGAAGAAGCAATGCTTGCCATTGGTGCTTTGGCTTACGCCACTGGACCAGAGTTTGGGAAGTATATGACCCAGTTTTACAAGTATTTGGAGATGGGTTTGCAGAATTTTGAGGAATACCAGGTCTGCACAATCTCAGTTGGTGTGGTAGGTGACATTTGCCGTGCCTTGGAAGACAAGATCTTACCATATTGCGATGGAATCATGACCCTCCTTCTCAGGGATCTATCTAGCAGCGAACTTCATCGGTCTGTCAAACCTCCAATATTTTCCTGCTTTGGTGATGTTGCTCTTACTATCGGAGAACACTTCGAAAAGTACATTCCTTACGCAATACCAGTGATGCAGAGAGCTGCTGAGGTTTGTGCACAGATGGACAACAGTGATGAGGAGATGGCAGAATACCGAAACCAGCTCAGCCGCAGCATCTTTGAAGCTTATTCTGGAATTCTTCAGGGATTCAAGAATTCCAAGCCTGATTTGATGTTGCCCCATGCTCCCCATCTCTTGCAATTCATAGAGTTGGTTTCCAGAGACAAAAAGAGGTATTGTTGATTACATACATTTTCCTTTCATGACTCCAAGTCGTGGTGGAGTTACTGGCTTTGTGTATATTCTACATCATTCTAACAGACTTATTACCATGTTGACTTATTACTGGCTATCTTACTGTGTAGGGAGGAGAGTGTGACACAAGCAGCAGTCGCAGTGTTGGGAGATCTTGCAGATGCACTCGGTTCAAATGTCAAGATACTGTTCAAGGATCGTGAATTCTGTATGGAGTTTTTGGGCGAGTGCCTTCAATCCAATGATAAACAGCTCAAGGAGACTGCGACTTGGACCCAAGGGATGATTGGGCGTGTTTTTTCTGTCTATGGGTAAAAATTGTCATTTCTTACTAGCTTCTGTTCGTTCATGAAATGGGCTTCTTTTTCTTTCTTTTCATGAAGGTCAAGGATGTCAGTGTATTCAAAACAGGTTTGATGTATTGCATCCTTGTGTCTTTTGCATTGCAGTTAGAAGTTTCTGAATCTTTGAAATGTTCTATGATCCGCTTTTCATGAATTGGAAAGGCATTTGTTTTTTTGGGCATTTGAGGCCACTAGATTGAAGCTTTCTATGAGTTGGAAAGTCCTGCTATTGCTAAGGAACTTTACTTAGTTTATGAATCCAATAATCAGTGGTTTGTTGGTCATCTATATCATCTTCTTTCTATATGTTTTTAAATTCCTTTTTGGCTCCATGGCTGTACAATTAAGGATTTCGTTATGTTATTGATCATAAGAAATTTTTGCCATGGTTATGGTTCTTGGTTGAATCTTAGATAACCATAATTCAGTCAGGTGTTGAATTGAATCAAACTGTCATTTACATACACAAACCAATTAGGGTTGCTTCTTAGAGTTAGCCTGCTTTATAGAATTTATTCATCGGCTACAGTTTGTGAGTTTAATGACAATAACAATATTGAAGTTTAAATACTCTTCTTTTATTTACTTTTTTCCCCAGAAAGTAGAGTTTAAATGCTTTGATGTCAATGTTGTCAAGGTGAAATTGAATTTTTAGTATTAATTTTGGAGTAGAGGTGGAAATGCATTGTGAAATTGGGGATAAAACCTTATTGTTCAAGTAGAGGTAGAAAAGTCCCTTGATTTCTTTTTAGGGACTTTATTTCTATAGTATTCAAGAGTCGCAGAAATTTGAAAATTTATCTCCAATTTTCCTTGGTAAACCCTTGTTCAAAAGTGACTTGGAATTCAGATTAGTTACAAAAAGTTGACTACTTCTTGAGCTTTGCTGAGGATAATCTCAATAACATCTTGGCATGATGAGAGCTTTTTTTGAAACTTTGGTTACATAGTTTTTAGGGTTCAAAGTCGTCGTCAAAATCATTTGGCTTAATTTATTTCTCATAAGCCATTGGTATGCCAGGTACTACCAGCAAGTGCATTAAAACATTTGCTTATTGCTTAATATTCATAAATATACCATCATAGAACAAAGTTTCGAAAGTTTAATGGGTTCTATACAGAATGAACAGTAAGGATGTTCGGTGCATAATTTTTATTTATCTAGGAAAGGTTTTATTATTATTATTATCTTCTTTCTTCCCGTGTTCGAGTCTCCTTTTTTCCTAATTTGTCCAAGAAAATAATAATAATTATATATATATATATACAGTATACTTCCTAGCGCGTGTGTGAGAGAGAGAGAGAGAGAGTTGACAAAGGTATGATGGTTTGTGGTACTTGGATGGATCACATTGACCTGCAGTAATGGGAGCCTTTGTTTAGAGCAACACATGTATGTGGGCTCAAAAGCCAACTCTTTATTGTGAAACTTTTTCTACTTTAGACACCACTTATCACTGTTTTCATAGTTGGCAGATAAAATTGCCTTACTATTGATGTTATATGAATGTGACCCACGTCAGTTTTTATTCTTATCTCATACACTAGTTTCTGAAGGAAATAATTGATGCCTCTCACAATACAACACCACTATTTAATGAGCACACCTAATTACTAACTAACTACAATGAATTTTACTTTTGTTTGGAACCAAAGTCATGATGGTCCCTGGACGGCTTTATTAGCCTGGTGCACCAGTCGCACTGCTGAATATTTTTTCGTTCTGAGTAGAGCACCGGATACACTGAATATCTATTCTTTCTCTAACAGCTAATTAGTTACATTACACCAAACTGTGGAGATAAAACAATCAATTAATTAAGAATCTGATATTGCTCTTTGTTCATTCCTGATGGTTGTGGAATAATGTGAAAGGGAACGCAAACTTGAAAAAGATAAAGTCATAAAGTTGATTCAAAGAATCAAAACCTGATAAAAGAGAATTACAAAAGTGACTCCCACAAACCACTCTTTAACTAATTAATGCATTTCGGTTTAAATAAATAAATCTAATTAGCATTTAATAAAAACTATAAAAGAATAATACTCGACTCTTTAGTAATTTCTATCCTACAAGTCGTATTACTTTTTTTTATAATATTAAAGATAATTAAAAAAAGAAGGAAATAGAAAGATAAACATTTGAAGTAGCTGTGATTTTTTTTTTACAACCAGACAGAAAATTTATTATTCATTGAAAGAGGCAGAGATCTGTGTGTGTATATATGCAAGTATACACATATGAAGAACACACACTACTACAAGGGGAGCTTGAACTAGTGCGTGTGAAGCGATGGATTGTCGTCAACTAGTGTTTGTGAGCATGTTGGTGATAGCTATTACATCTCATGCTTCTTCAGATGATACAAGTAGCAAGGTTAGCATGTCACTGTACTATGAAGCTCTGTGTCCGTACTGTGCCAACTTCATTGTCAATGATCTGCAGAAGATCCTCACCACCGATCTACTCTCTATCCTCAACCTCAGACTGGTCCCTTGGGGTAACGCTGCTTTCAAAGATGACAAAACTTGGGCTTGCCAGGTCTCTCTCTCTCTCTCTCTCTCTCTATATATATATATATCTGCCTTTATTTATTTATTTTTCTCATTTTCTAATTCATCTGCATTTTGATCGATGCTTAATTTGCCAATTTGTTCGATGTTCTGTTCTTCCAAGGAAGTGTGTGTGTGTGTGTGTGTGTGTGTGTGAGTAAAACTAAGTAATTTTGCCAAAACAATTAAAATGGATTCAATATATAAAATCCATCAAACACCATTGCTTAATTTTCAATTTATCTTCTCCTTGCGTATTCACCTATTAGTGTTTCGTGCAAATAAAATGTGGTTCATTGATTGGGTTGAGCCGAGGCTTGGTTGAATACAGAGAGACGATCAGTCATTACCCTTTGCCCTCGATTATTTTTAAGAAGCTTATTTTCTGTCATATATATCTATGCAAAATTTTCAACTTTATTTGTACACAATTCTTCAAAAACATAGTTTGTTTACACACACACACACACACACACGCATATATATATGTATATATGTTTTGTCATTTTCAAATGCATTGATGACTGATTAAATATGCAGCATGGTCCAGACGAATGCCTGCTAGATACTGTTGAAGCATGTGCCATTAATGTGCATGACCTGGTAAGACATATTAATTACTTAACAGCTGATCACTGGTAATTCAAACATGTTCAGCTATGGAATAATAATGTATGTAATCAACTTAATTTGTAAATGTTTATGTTGTGTGCAATCTTGAATTTTGATGCAGGGAACACATTTCAGGTTCATTCGCTGCGTTGAGCGTCTAAATCTGGAGAACAGGCACACCGAGTGGCAATCTTGTTTCAGAACAGGGGGGCTGAACCCGAAACCAATTGCAGATTGCTATAACACTGGACTTGGATTTCTGGTTGATTTTTTGCATTGTCAACTGTGTAATATTTTGAGCTTTTAACAGATCTTTTCTACTGCTAATTCAATCACTCAATGCAAATTAATCAACGGTGCAGCTTGAACGAAGATACGCTGATGAAACTGCTCGTCTTAATCCACCTCATCAATATGTACCATGGGTGCTTGTTAATAATGTCCCAATTGGAGTGGTGAGTCTCAAATCCCTCTCTCTCTCTCACACACACACAAACACACACATACTCATAGAGAACTTTTCTTTTCTTTATGCAGGATTACCGGAATTTTGTAGCGTATGTCTGCAAGGCTTACAGAGGTCCAAGCATACCTATAGCCTGCAAATCACCTCTATTCGACATCAACTCCTCTGAGAAGAAAAACACTAGTAGTGGAGTTTGCTATGCCGGTGAGATGAGAGAGTGGCATCAATAGCACCAGCAACACCTCAGATGATTACGGAAGCTTTTAGCATGAATGTGATGGTTGCAGGATGACAAAGTGTTCGAATTAAGTAGCACGAAATGCTTCTAAAAAGTTCAATGTGTGACACATTGTGAGATAGTCCCCAAATGGACATGGTGTAACATTTCTGTGAGTGTAAAAACTGACTACTTAGCTTGAATTATAACATATGTAAGCAAATCTTCCAAACAAAGGCATGTTTGGCTTCCCTGTATAATGATTCATTCAATGCAAATTATAGCTTGGTTTTCGAGTAATGTTTTACAACGTGTGTCTCACTTTGATGCGTCGGAAGAATTGAATTTGACATTATGCCACAGTATTCAAGGCCAGTTGCAATTGCTGGAAGTCGGGGAGATGTTTGGCGAAAGGTGGAGAGCGCTGGTAGACGATGGAGGCAGCTCGAATAAGGATGCTTGCAGTTAAGCCCCATATCAAGAAAGCTCCTTGTTCTGATTCATAATCAAATAAATGGACCGCGTACTTCCATTGTTGCCATTCCCTCTCTTCACATCTATGACTATTTTCCTACAAAATTGAATTGGATTACTGCAATAATATTGAAGTGAATCAGAGGTCACTACGCAGATTATAGCAATTTTATTTAGTTTATGCAATATAGTTCAAGAAGCTACAAGAAATGCTATAATACCTAATTAAACCTTGTTAAAGAGGTTCAAAAATATAGTGACAGATAAAGAGTATGTATAAACCTTGAGAAACATCTCCAATGGGACATCAAAAATAGCATCAACTTCCTCAGTATTGAGCACTGGCTTGAAATCTTCTATCCTGGCCAGTAATCCCAGCACAGGAACAACCATGAGTAGGTGCTGCATATATAGCACATATACACATGATGGTTATATATAGTAGGTTCAATAATTGTATATATAAATCACAGAACAAACCAACAGAAAAAAACTAGATATATAAATAACAAATGAGTAATACCTGGGAAAAAAATGGCTCTAGATTGGCAACAACTTGAACTAGATCAGGATCCAATCCGATCTCTTCCATGGCTTCTCTCAGCGCGGTTGCAGAGTAGTCATCGGCATCTATTTCCTCCATCTTTCCACCAGGCAGTGCTACCTCTCCTGCATCACATGCAGATGGAAATCAACTAATATGTCTGCTTGAACTTCATTCATTTGTTTCCAAGTCAAGAAGAAAAATTAATGAAGTAGAAGTGCAACATCAATATTCAAAGTGAAAACTTCTCCCAACAAAAAGAAGAATTACAATAGTAAATTTGCATATATATATATATATATATAAACATCTCATCATCATCTTCCATCTCCTTTTCCATTTTCTTCAGTAAAAGTAATTATCACACACCTATTCATGTATATATTCATATAACCCTTACAAATCCTGTTCATGCCTCAAACAGTCAAACATGACTAGCTAGAACAATTCTTGGTTCATGTATCCATTAATTAGTATAAATCAAAGTGATCACAAAGGCCCTTGACATCATTGCCAATTCTATTGCATGTTTTAAAATTTGGATTTAACTCGAAACCAAACAAAATTAGAACCTTGTGGAAGTAGTTCATGTTTTAATGTTTGAGCAGGTCAATATTCAAGGGGTTAGTCAGTTCAGTACACGAGGCTTCTAGTATTGTAAAGTCTGGAGAGAGTCAAATGTACGAAGTCTCAAACCTATATAAATAGTTATATATATATATATATATATGTAGAAGTGGCAGTACCTGGGTGAGAGAACAACTTCATGGATCTTTTGGTGAGAACTACGCGTAGCTCGCCTTCCTGTCCTACGAAAATGCATACTAGAACTGCTGCTCTCCTGTTTCTAGAATCAGCACAAGAAAACTGATCACTGATTTTAGCTGGTGCAGACTCGACGGCGATGGGATTTGAGCTTGTACCATGTTCATCTTCATTCTGATGAGTTTCTTCTTTTGCAGTAGTTAATGATGTGTAGTATTGAAGCTGTTTTGCAACATTTTGGAGTGTGTCACTTTTTGGACTCTCTGGGGTTTGGCACACCACTTCTTCATTGATGCACGTAGAGGAGGCAATGCAAGCCATTTAAAGGAATGATTTTGTGAAGTCGTGTTCTCTGTAGTTTATATAGAGAACAATAAGCAATGGACAGTCAAAGAAGTAATTAAAATGTGGGTTCTACATACCAAAAAGATTTTTTTATTTTAATTTTTCTTGAGTAATACTTTAGGTGAATTTGTCAGGCCAATTTGTCTAGTCTAAATTGTTTTTATCAGTTTGATGTGGTGGATAAACTCAAGTATAGGTTTCATCCACTAACATCAAAGGTTAAAACCCTTAGGCCAGACAAATCGGTCTAAATGGTGATGTTAAGCCTCTTAGAGCAACTCTTCATTTGTCACCAAACACACGTAATCCTTCGTTTTATTTGCACCCAGCAATTATCAGAAAAATTCTTGAGAGATCTAAAGAATTCAAACAAAAATATCAATTAAATGTGTTACATATGTGAGAATTACCTCCAACAATTACCCATCTTTTCTCACTTTTAGGGCTCACATGGCCTTAATGGGAAAAAGATTTATACGGTTTAAAGCCATTCCCCTGTATTTTTCTTTCATATTCCTTGTGTGTAGCCGTCAAGAGATGCCTTATTCTTTTATGTCATTCTCCATCTCTTATCTTCCTATTAGTCCCACCCCACTCTTTTAGACATACAGTCATATATATAAATGGCTACCCGCAATAAAATAATAATAATAATAATTAGAAAGGAAAAAAAAAAAAAAAAAAAAATTCATTATGTCATTACTCTAAAATGAAATGATTACAAATTTATGAACTCCTAAAAATTCATTTATGCATGCATTTGCCCTTCAACGTGTGCAAATATAGTATGGGAATGGAATCACAAATACCACCAAAAGGGTCCAAAACGACTTGGAATATAATTTTATGTGCAACTTGAAAAGTATGTCATTGCTTAAAAAACCCGCTTTTTATTTGGCCGGTGGATGCAATTACATGCCCCAACTTGTTTTTATCTTCACGATGATAGATTTTTATTTTTTATTTTTTTCAGAAGAGAAAATATCATCACCGTACTATTACACTCCTATTACATGTATTACATGAGTTCTGAACCATCAGATCAATTGATTCACAATACATGGTGACAAGACGGATGAATAACATTTACACAGGATCTAGAAGCCCCTCTGTTTTTTTTTTTTTCAAGAAACTCATGCACACATTTTTTTTTTTTTTTTTTGTCTTGCGGTATCTTTGATTTGGACAAGACGACGATTCGAGCTTTCAAATGCTAACATAATATAAGAGTGAGTTTTAGGTAATGATTGACAAAATTTTCCTCAAAGCCCAACATTACAAAATCTTATTGATTGATTCAGACCATACATCACTTGGTTCAGTGAACAAGTTCTTTACAATTAAACTGAAGAAGACATCATACAGAAACATTTTTCATATGTTAACTACAAGTTATTGAACATTTTAAGTTAAAAGCTTCATACAACATTCATATAATCTATACTCTGAGTTTATTTAGAATGGTTTACATTTTACAAAAGGCCACACAAGCGTGGCCTAGAACAGAGCTGCCTTCCGTTGCTTTTGACCAATGCCATCACTCCAGCAGTTACACCAGCACAGACCACAGATGACACAAAATGCTGTGCATTTCGTCCCGCTACAAAAGAAGCTAGATAGCTCAATATCTTAGTGACCATCATATAACCTAGTATCACATATATTTAGCATTGATGACAGACGGAAATAATCGCACTACCTTGATTAAGTGTGACGGATGTCAATGTCAATCCTCCAACTAATAAAGCTGACGCTACCGGCAGATACTGCAAAATATCCAGTTTATCCATATCAATCTAGTTAGAAATGTAACACGCCCAGAAGACGTCCAATGAGTCATCTACTATAAACATGACCCAGTCACATTTGCCAAGATATGCAAATCTAAGCCGACAAACAAAAGATGGACACGGCTGATTGACACTTATTTTTGTACAATGCGATCCACTTTTTGGTTCGAATGCAGAAGGTAGATGTACTGAAAGAGGAGTTGAATATTTCAAGAGATGAATTAAGTTCTTATATTTCATTATTTTATCATTGTAAATAGTTCCCAACCCATCTCAGTTTATCTAAACTTAACAAAGCCCTGGAATTGAGACATTTTTAGGCAACATGGAATGCCAATTTTTGTGTGTTTTTAACTATAGGCCTTCAATAAGTTTATAATAATTCTAATAATTTTGTTAATGTCATTAAGCTTTAACTTTTCAACTTGTTAACAGATTTACAATCCGAAAAAAAGTAATAATAATAATAAATAAACAGATTTACAATCTTATAATGAGGCTAAGAAAATGGTTGTCAACAATGTAATTGGTTTGATAAGAATGAGAAATGTCCTTTTATTTCTAATGACTGTAAAAGTAAACAATGCATTTACCCAATTCAAAGAGGCAGATGTATGAAGTGCTTCAGATTCTATGAGATGGATATACAAAAATACCACTTCAGTTATAAGATAGGCATTAAAATTACTTACAGACATTGATTCGAAACCGTTTAGCTGGGATGGGGAAGGACCATTTCTGTTGACAGTATAATGGCCACTAACGAGATCAATTGCATCCTGAAAATACATAAGATTCAATCAAGTAAATTCAACCAACCATCTTCTGGAGGGCTCTGACTCCCTTTCAAAGTAACTGAACAGTATTTAATTGTCAAAATGACTATTAGATAGCTTGCCTGTCGAACTCCATCATGAAAATTGTTCAAATAATATCTTGAAATTGCACTCATCCCATCTCTGAATAGTCCTGCCATTGTCTGTTTTCCATATCTGCAGTATTGTCGATGAAGCATCAAAAAAGGACACGAGAATTTAAGATCCAGATAATGTCAATCTTGTAAATAGTACCTGACCATGTCCCGTTTCAGTGCATGAGTCCCACAATATTCAAGGCTTATCTCATCACCTTGATCCACCCACACTACCAAAATAAATAAATTACATAAAGTTCAGACTAATCAGAAAAGTAATGAAAGTGAATTTTCAACTCAGAAATTAAATATAGAATGACAATTGTGAAGCTTCCATACGTATCTTGAAATTTTCATGATCTTCAGTAAACATAGAAATGTCTTCAGTAGAAGAAAGTATTCCGATTCTCTGGAGTTGGGAATTCAAAGATTGCTGACCTAGGTAACTCTGACAAAACAAGACATGAACATTGATTAGAACAATTCTTCACAGAAATCCTCAAAATAATAAAGGCATCATACATTTGGTTGTCAAGAAATTGTAAAAGGAAAATATATATATATATATATATATATATATAATTTAAGATGAATCACTTCATCCCTAACTCTTCGATTGCTTCAAGTAATTAACAAAATAGTATATTTCCTCAAACCTGAGTAACATTTGTTCGATCAAGGCAATCAATACAGTTAGATCTAATAACTCCTTTCTGCTCTTTTAGTACCTCGCATTCTGCGTCTACAAGGAAGTATCTGCTCAGCTGGAATAGTAACGATTAAAAACAATATTATGGAAAACCAGCACACGTGTACTGTGGCGTCTTATATAGAAAAGCTACTAAAAATCATACTCCAATTCTGTTGATTACCCTTGCTTTTCAAAGTCCTCGGAGATTTGATCGTACAAAAGTTGTATGTTATCAAAGTTTGAGTTGCCACAACATTGATGAAAGTCAAAGGACACATATCTGAATCAATAACCAAAAAAATAAAATTCAGAAAAGAAATAGGTTGTCCTTAAATACAACCCACTTCCTCCAGGAATAAACTAAATGAAAACAGAGCTGGGGTCAAAAGTTCACGAATGTTGCTGTCATATGAAACAAGAGCCAGTAGTAATCAAATTGAAAGGAATATATAGTTTTGCGATAAGTACTTGGAAACTCGTCCAGACTCCTATAGCAGACCCATCTTGATTTCAATTCTAGCAACTAAGTTTTTATTGGAGTAGTGGTCATGTGAATCAATATGGTGTCTTTAACGCCTTCCAAGCACTCCTCGGATGATTGGAGTCCCAAATGGGTTTTTGATTGATGCATACCCAAATGGGTGGTGGTGGAGGTTGGGGGCGGTGGGTGGAGAGAGAGAGAAAGGTAAATGTCTGTGAATGACAGACTTTTTGTAATTTCATAACATTTTTAGGGAACAATGTCATTTCAAGCAGGTTGAAGGGCATTTGGGTGAATATATACAATTTCTTTCAAAGAATTACGACAAAATTCAGGGGACCAAGGTGTTACCTTTTTCAAACTTGGATACCGAGTGTAATTTCGATTTATTTCAAGGGAGGTCAGTGTATTTTACCCTACTTATATAAATAGTGCCACATGACATCATGAATCAACCTGTTCACCCAGATGGTTGAATCACCAGATAATGGACCAGCTATAGGTTGGTGAATTGTTCAAAAATCAAAAGATTGCTCTACTTCCTGATTTACTGCTTACAACATTCATATAATAGTGTTTAGGGCAACATGTTAATAAAATGTCTTCAATTTACACTAGGTGAAACCTATTCCATTAACACTAGAATATATTACCAAGAAAGACTGAGCAAAAAAATTGTGGCACTTGGTTATGAGTCTTATGACATGATAGGAAATTGATAAAATGTGATATCTTCATATTGTAATGGGACACAATGTATTAAGTTTTTAGTAGAGTTTCAGTATGGGTCACTATAAGAGTTCCTCATCAACAGCAAAGCAATAAAGCCATAAGAACGTATGCAGTTAAACACAACTAGGTCATGCTTCCAGTTTCAGTCTCACTAAGGCTGCGTTTAGTAACAAGAAACGTTTCTTGTTTTCTGTTGTCAACTTCTAAAAAGGCAAAACGAAAACAAAAATCAAGTTCAATAAAATGTTTTTATTTTTCTATAACAAAAAACGTTTTCAATTTTTGTGAAGAAAAGAGAAAACATCAAAATGATGTTTCTTATGTTTTCGATACTGTAGCAGAGAAACGTTTTCACTAATGTTTCAAATAAAATTCATATTATTTGTGTTATATACTAAGTTGCATATTAAATGTTAATAAAAATATATATTTTTAATATAGAATAAATTAAATATTGTATATTATTTTTTATTTGATAAAAATATATTTTAATATATAATATATTAAATAATAATGTAAATGATTTTTTGTGACAAAATAATTTTTGATATAGAATATGATGTTATTAAATTATTAAGCAGTAGATAATTTTATATTATTATATATCATATCTATATTATATTATATGTAAATATTAAATTAAAATTAATTTACAATATTATAACACAATATATATTTTATTACATATAAGATATATTATTTAATATTTTTTATTCATAATAAATTATCATATGCTAAATATATTATATATCACATCATAAATGTATACAGCATGCATATATATGTATTTATATACATAATTGGTAGGAATGTTTTTGTCTTGGTATATCTAATTTTGTACCTATGATGTCTTAGGTATTTTTAAGATTTATAATTTTAATTTAGATTTTTTAGATTTATGACTTTTTGATATTAATGGAAGCAAGTGTCGTGCTTGAGTGGTTGAGTTGCTCCTGTGTCCGAGAGTTCGTGTTCAAGTCATCTACACTCCCATCTAATCACTAACTCCTAAAATTCTTGTCATGAAAAAAAATAAAATAAAATAAAAAATAAAAAAATAAAAGAATATTACATACATTTTGTAACAAATATGTTGTATTACTAAACACAATTATTATTTTATATTTTCAAATTTCTGGCAACAATAAGTGTTAATAAACATCATTTTTGTTTTCTATTTTCACTCAAGAAAACAAAATCATGTTTCTGCTTTCTTAAGACTGCAAAAACAGAAAACGAAAACGTTACTAAACGCACCCTATATAAGACAACTTCTAAATTTATCAGGAATATAGCATAATCTGAAGTGTGAGGACAAGCACATGACAACCTCATCCAATAACCACTGGAAACTTTAAGCAAAAGGAGGAAATGATACATCACTGTCTTAAGGAATTATAATATGATGGCCTTTCACTTGTGTTATTTCCAAGAATATATGTAGAGATTGCAGTTAAATTTTCAGCAAGTGTTTAAAGGTTTAGAAAAACATGCTAAACTAAGCATCACTGTAAAATTGGATAGTTAGTGTAAGTAGCATATTATTTCTTTTTTTTGTTCTCTTCTGTTTACCTTTTTAAAATAATTATGGAAGAACGGGGATAGAAATCACTGTATTTATGTACATCTCAAGGTATACACATGTGAAGTACGAATAAAGAGTCACCTCACATTTGGCAGCTTTTCCATTTCAGCAGCAAATACCGCATTTAGTGTACCTTCATCGCCATGCTACAGTAGTAAGAGAAACAGAGATGAAATATCTACAGATATGGATGATAGGAAACAATCTTAGCCTCAACATATAAAGTTTTTTTTGGTAAGTAAAAATTAGAGAGAGAAAGACAACCCAAGAGGAGCTGTACGTAGAGAGGAAACACGTAAAGTTCATGTTTGGAATTACATATAATGGGCTAACTAATTCGTTTCAAAATTCAGACACTTCCATAAAGATTTCCAAAAATTTATGAAACTTCATAAAGAGCTATTGTTCATACCAAATTAATTTTTTTAGGGAATGTATTGAATTCACATTTGACTAGCCAGATTTTTCAGCTTCCCGGGCAGCTCAAGGAAAAGATAGTCCTATTGTATATGATGAGATTAACGAATGTGCATGTCTGCAAGCATGTGCAAGTGTGCATGGGTGCGTATGTGTTTGTGAGAGAGACAGAGAGAGAATCTTACTTTATCAGTTAGGTCAACTGCTACAGTGTCTCCATATCTTTGTACGAGATCATAGAAATGGCGTGCCACAACCTCTGACTGGAAGCAAATAATTATATATAAATATACAAGAGATGCTCGTCATTGTACAATTTAGAAAAAAAAAAAAAAAAAAAAAAAAAAAAAAAAAAAAAAAAAAAAGCTACATCTTGGAGAAAATACATACTGTCTGCTCATGATTAATAATTTTAAGTTGTGGTTTATAGCTCAAATCAACAATTTGCTCCCAAAGTAGTGGGATCGAACCTCGAATCTGAAAACAGGTAAAAAGTAGCTGTTACAAATTAAGATAAGAAATAATTTAATAGATCTACATCCATAGAAACCAACAGGCATGTGGCCTAGCGGTACAAGGCTCTTATCTCCCAAAGGGAGGTCAAGGGTTCGAACCTCAGTGGAGGCAGTGTGTGTGAGTTTCCCAACTAGGAAAAAAAAAAAAGGATCTACATCCATAGAAGGATGTGAGAATTATTAGCCAACATCTACACATGTTAATGATGCATTGCCTTGCACGTCCAAATATCTCTATTCTATTACGTAGAACTAACTATGTAAATTCATAAAAGAAAACCTAGTAAAACAGTCTTTTCACATTGAGCTAATAAGCTTCATTTGCTCTCTGTATTTACACAACTCATTCATCATCAAGGGGCACAGATTAAAACATTAGCAAAGGAAGGAAGATAAAGATGAGCTTGTCATAGCACCACATGATTGTCCTACAAATTACAAGTTAGAAATTCAGCTTCAGTTGATGTGGTTTAGCATCTCATTGTAATACTCTATTTTAGGTTATCGTCATAATGTTAGATTGTCCTACAAATTTAAATACTAAAGAATGGAATAATAGAATCAGGACAGTTTATCAACAAAAGTGATCTATTATATTGAAGTTAATTATTTTTTCCATAAAATATACAATAGTATTTGTGTGGCTGCTTGTCATTAAACATGACAAACAATAGGGATATAAAACAAAAAATCACAAACCATAATTTTCTCTAAATCTTTGCAAACCTTCCTCCTGGTGGTGATTAAATAACCTATAGGGGCAGTTAGGCAAGTCACCCTGATATGTGAATGGAAAATTCTAGCTAAACGGTATTCAAGTGGTTGGGACTTTTGGGTAGCCAACCATATCTTGATTTCCATCATTTTTTCTGTATTAGAGCATAGAAGGAAAATTGGGGTAAGCAGTTGTTGCTTACCCCTTGAACAAAACGATGGCTCCACCACTAGATTTATAATGTCACAAACAGCATTCAGACAATTTTGGTCTGTTGATTTACCCATCAAGGTTCAATATTTCCATACTTATAAACATAAAAAATAAAAATAAAAATAAAAATAAAAAGGGATTGAATACTGCCATACTTTAAAGAAGGAAAATCCGTAGCTGATTCACTCCAAACATTGACTATAACAAGAAAGATAATAAAAGAAGGAAACAATCATTTATTGGAAGGCCCATCTGTACCACAAGATTTACCTGCAAATATGAGGACCTAAAACCTTCACACTCCAGTAACTGCTCAGTTTCAATAAAATTAGCAACGTCTCCTTCAAGGTTAGCTCCTCTTCTCCACATCCTTGTTCCTAAGTTATAATTGGTTACCTTTTAAATGATTTCACATAGACATATCAGCCAAAAAAAAAAAACATGTACATTGCCGTACCTAGACGCCGTGTACACCTCCTTGAAATTAATGTAATTTTGGCAGCGGTATTCTTTAGCTTGAGCTGTCCAGCCTGAAAGCTTAGCTCCTGGTTAAGTGAAAACACTCTTCTTTTTCTGGTCGGCACTTAAAACTAAAACTACTCTTATCTTCAATTACCTATCGATGAACATACATGGAGTAGCATAAACATACACAAAAATGAACAAGTGTCCATACACACCACAAAGGCACAAACACAAACAGCGAGACAGAGAAATCTGAAAGCATAATGAATGAGAAGTTTTTAGGATATTTCCTTGTAATACAGGGATGATGAACCCGTCAAGCTGTTCCAAAAGAAATATGATATATTAGCAAAAGAATTTTTACTTACTACATTTAAGACATTGACTAGCAATTAATTCCCCTTTCCCATTTTAATTGTCCATTTTGGGTTTTTTATTTTTTTCAGGGGTAATGCATTGTCCCCTTTTAAAATTCTAAAGTGACCCTTTGAAGTTTAAATATATAGAGTATCAAGTTCATAAATTTTAAAAAATTAAAGGATAGTGTTGGAAAGATGCATTCAACTTATCTTAACTTTTAATATGGGACAACTATTTTGGGACAGCCAAAAAAGGAAAGATGGACTATTAATCCGGAGGGAGTAATGGTTAAACTCATCAAAGAACTTACCCATCTTTTTTCTTTTTTCTAGGAAAAATTATAACATAAAAGGAAAAGAAAAGATATTTGAAAAAAAAAAAATGAAAATAGGAAAAAAGAAGTAAGGTTTGAAACTAAAGAAGAAAAGAATAAAATATAAAAAAGGTAATTCCAGTGTACTAACCTAACATGCCATCCTCTGAAAAGAAAGAACAACTAACCTTTTTCTCAATGAGATCCTCCAATATATTCTTGTTCCAAACAAAACGCGGATCAGCCTTAAACACACATGGAAAATTAGAACATTTAGGTTCAAGCCTCAGAAAAACAAATAAATGACAGAAATGAAGTGGGGAAAAAATAAATTAAGTTCCACAGACTGTTTCAGTTATTCAATCCTCCTTAGGCCGTATCATGGTTGTGTGGGTGGGGAAAGCGTCAAGAGGTTTCCAGGTCAGACTTGGTGCCAATTTGACAAGGTACGAACTTGAATACCATAATGAATACCCAAATCTATATACGAACTCAAATCTGACTCATTACAATCCTAGTACAACATAGATATTGGCTATTAAGGACCGCACAGACCCCAATCCATTTGTTCCCTATGCCTGGTAGCACCTCACACACACACAGAGATTTGGGTTACTTCAAATTAATAGCTGACAACCCCAATCTGGCCAACAAACCTGCTTCCAAATCGGTTTACTCATCCACCCTTCAGCCAATTTGAATCTTCTTTGCAAGCTGGGAATGGCATCAGAAAACATGATATGAAGTCATATGTTAAAGTAATAACAGAAGTAAAGCACAAACCATATAGATACCAGAAACAATAAAATTAAAGAGCACCGTGTATGTTAAATTAACTTACTTCAATGTTATATCTGTTTCATACGAATAATACAACCCTGGAGTTGATTCCACAATTTTCAACAAATTCATGAAATAAGCCTCATCTCTTTTCTGCACAACAGATAGTTTAACAAGGTTTAGGCAACAGTAGGAAATTTAATAACTTCAAGGGGATGTGCAATATACTTCTAGTTCGAACCATACTTCTTGAGAATTCAAAAGTCTTAAAGCATCGTTGCAGTACAAGAACTTCATAGACATCACGCAGAAAACAGGGAAACCTAGATAAGTTCCAACTTCTTTCCGAGAAGTTATCACTAGCACATATGTTCCTACACCAAAACTCAAAGAATGAGTACAGAAATCCAATTGAACAAGAAAACATATAAAGCATCATCTCTCACTTCCATTTCTCCCATTATGTCATATTCATGCCTGCTAGTTTGCTCAATCCATATCCTAGCAAAACCAGAAGCACCTAGAGGCTCAGATGCGCAACCAGATTTTCTAACAAATCAAATTAAAGTATGGGCTTCAACAAGGCATTTCCTGTTTTTTCATCTCTCTTACCCCTGATGCTATTGTTGCCAAGCTTCATAAACACATTAATGGAAAGAGCCCTCGAATATCATCTGTCATAATCTAAATGATGCGATAACCACTGAATTCATGACCATTATCAATTTTCTCACTCAAACTTCTAAAATTTGTCCATGGGAGCAGTATCTTCTCCCATAAATTCTTCTTCTCTTAATTTCATCAATTTAAAGCTTCAATTAAGTCCTTCCAACTGAGCCAATTCAGAAATATTAAGTCCCGACGTATAACTCCCTCCGTCCCACAAAAAATGTCCCTTTTTGGGAACCTAACTTTTAAGAGGGTAGTTCTTTTTCTTTTTTTAATTATAGTGGTAGGGAATGAATTTCCAAATATACCCTTTTATGGTGGGTCCACATGCTTTTATAACTTCAAGGCAAGGAGGGTAAATTGGGAATATTAAAATAATAGTACATTGGATTTTGAAATGGGAAAATTATTTTGGGACAGCCAAAAATGGAAGGGTGGACATTTTTTGTGGGACGGAGGGAGTACTTTATTTCTTTAATTATTTGCTGGTAAGTGAAATGCAACCTGTGTGTCAACCACAACGTGAACTCTGCACCTCCCCTTTTGGTGGTAGGAGATACTGTTACACTAATGAGTCATGTGTTGGCAAATTCCTTCACAAATCTAGGGTTATAATTTGAACTAAATATCTCGAGTTAGTTTGTCTGCAGCCAAAGATGATGAAGATGAAACAGCAGCGAAGATAAATTTTGTCGAAGCTCAATAAAATATCTAGGTTAAGGTAGAATGAAAACTTAGTGGACAAAGGAATCTGTGTTGGATTAAGAAATTACTTGGTTGGACTTCCCATGACCTAGTTTTGATTATCGAAAGGTTGAAATTTAAGATTAATCAATATTTTCAAGAAATGTGTACATCAATTTGTTATTTAATTTTTGAATGATTGGCAAATTCTATTCCAAAACATGTTAGGATATGAACAAAAATATGAGTTATGGTTGCGTCAGATACTTTGCCAAGGTTCGTCATGGGTGTTGTTAGAGGGGTCAAGTTTCACCCAACTTTTTGCCTTTGTGATGGCACTTGATCACACCAAGTCTTAGCCAAACACACCACACAAAGCACAAAAAGGGATAAGGTAAAACCATATATATGACTAAATTCCCAACCTTTATTACTTCTCTCACATAAAGTATATAAAGGGACCGGCTAAGGACTAAGGCAGACATCACACTCACATGACTTGCCCAACACATGCCCCAGCATAGCAATATATAGGCTACAATCAAAAGCGCCCAAGAATTTACCTGCAAGTAACCTAATAGTTCCAGCCACCCCATATATTGTAGAGATTTTGGAAGGAGTCTCGGAACAAGTATCACCTGTTACAATAATCAATACATTAAGTCTTTGAGGCTAGTGAATCAAAAAGTAATAATAACAAGAAGCCTTTAACAGCATTCTGCTAATTGCAATTAGTATAAGGCAAGTTTTATAGGCTCGAGTATTTTTTTTCAAACCCTTGATGTTTTAGCAATTTTTTATAATCATTTTTATTAATACTCTACCAAAACTACATAAAAAAATAATCACTTGGAAGTTATACCATGTAATAGAAAAATGGGTCAAGTGGTTCACCACACAAACTAAAAGATAATCAGCATTACACGATAATCACAATAACCAATGCTCATCAAAAAATTATCAATCTCAAATGTTACTAAATAACTCGTGCCAACTATTATTGATGGGATAACTACAATAAGTTTGACAACAGTGTACTCATGTAAAAACAAACATGTACATGTAGAGAAACCATTATACTCAATTAAGTGATCATTTAACTAAACTCATAATGAACAACCTCGCACTAATACAGTTAAAAAAAAGCCCCAATCAAAATTTCTGAGAAAATTAAAAGAGATCATAAATGGGAAATTTTTTAATCATGTCTTTTAGTTTGGAACCATCATATCTTTTAGTTTGTTTTGGGTTCCAAAAATCTATTTTGAGTTTCAATAATGTTTCTTTATCTACAATTTCTAAGCAACCAAACCATTTATTTAGGTAAGTTTTAAGCAACCAAACAAAACACAAAGCATTTAAACATGTGGGTGTGTGTGTGTGTGTGTGTGTGTGTTGAATTAGAACACTAACTGTTAAGTGGTTCGATGTTGCCATCAGAACGAGCGATGGAGAAGCCTTGACTGGGCGATTCAACGGATTTGATCAGAAACTTGTCTTGAAATTCTTGTAACTCCAACTGGTTCCATAGCTTGAAATGAGCTGAAGATGCTTCAATCTCCATTAAGAGATTGTTGGATCAAAATAGAGAACCCTAGAAAGTTCGTGTGATCAATAGATGAGTCATTTATTGATTTTGAAGAGATGAGGAATTCAACATCAACAACTCGTCAGCTCCAAAGACTTATTTTTAACTAATTAATCGTAACAACCAGATCAAAATGACCTTTTTAACCCTAATGATTTGAAATAACGGACATTGCCTTGTCAGGCAAACACCCAATAATGTTCTATTCATACATGTTTGTTCCAACAATATTGTTTCTGTATTTCCGGAAAAAGAAAAAAAAAATTATTGTTTTTATGTACTAATAATATGCTCGGCCCACATTAACATGTTGCCACCGACATCTCAAAACCATTGTTTTTTATTATTATTATTATTACAATGACCATTTTCACCATCATTCAACTTGATGAAACTACATAACTAGTATGAAAAAGTATATTAAAAATTATATTTTGCAAAAAAAATATCCAAAATTGAGTTAAGAGATCATGATCTACTGCTGAAATAACTACACTAATTTTTTTTTTCTTTGTCCGAATTCCAAAAATTTTGGTAACAATTTGGTTTAAAGAAAATGGCATATTAGTCAAAATATAACGCATTTTGGCCCTTTTTTTAACGAAAATTTAACAAAAGGGCTAATCTACAGGATTTTATAGTATTAGAGGGGTTTTTTTTGTCAAATTGATAGTATAGGGGTGTTGTTTACAAATATGAGAAAGTTGAAGGAAATTTTGGTATTTTACCTATAATCAACATTTTTATTTTTACTATTATTTTTTTTTGCCTATAATAAACAAACTGAGTTACAATCTTTGTTAATAGCCTCCATTAACACAAGGCTAACTATCTGAAAAAATCACATTAACCTTCAAGAGAGAGAGAGAAGTGCCCTACCAAGAGGAAATTCACAAAAGTAAAAACTGTGAATTCATGCTCAATCAAATATGTTCCATTGTTATTAGAAACAGTCTCTGAGGCTAAACTCCATTGATCTCTTGAGCATCTACCAATACATGGTGAGCCATAAAGCCAATGGATAATCTCATTTTCCCATGTGTGTTCAAAACCACCCCCAATCATACAAAACTGAAATTCATCTAATTCTTTAACAAACCAGCAAGCTCACCCTTCTCATGCAAGGAGGACAAAATATCACATCCCCCAACCAATTCACCGTTCGCAAAAACCTGTGGGAATGTAGGCCAGTTACTATACTTCTTAAGTGTTTCCCTCAATCCATGATTATACTCTTCATCAAGCACATCAACACTCTCGTAATCCACCCCTTCACTTTCGAGAATCCCCACCACCCTCTCTGAGAATCCACATAATGGGGCACTTCTTGATCCCTTGATGAACGCCACCACCTTGTTCTCTTTCACCAACCGATCAATGAGTTCCTCCAGTGGGACTGTCAGCTGGACGTGGCGGCCAGGTGTTAACCGGAGATCAGGCTTCTTCTTTGGTGGCTGACGGACCCATGTGGTGTTCCCTGATTGGTTACCCGGTGGGACCTTTCCTGTGGCTCCTATATGTTCTTCCATCCATGATTTCCAAGCTTGAGCTAGAGCTGTTCTGTCAGGCTCATCTACTACCCCAACCTGCATAAAAGTTTTAGTGATGAAATAGTTGCAAGGCAAGTGACAACTCTAAATAACCCTTTATTATTCACACAAGATCAACAATTTTCTAGAGGAGAATATACTTACCGTGGATAAACAGACTAATCTATACCAATCACAAAGTTGTGCTTCAGAACTTGAGGTTTGAGAGGCTTTTAGTTTAAATACTAGCGAACTCAACTTATTTCGGCTTGTGAAAATTTGAGATAGTTCGGTGGCTTTTTATTAACAAAATTATTTCATAATATTTTTTCCCCCAGTCAATAATCATTTCAGAAATTTACTCAAAGGAAAAACTTCCTAGAGAAGCAAAATAAGATTATATGATTTTGTCCTGGATGTTTGTTTCATTGTCTAATAGGCTTATACATTAACCTACAATTACTAATAACTTTATACTGTGATGTCCTAAAATTGGACGCAATCAGCAAAGTTTGCAGCTTTCCGTGCTCTTCTTTACCTAGTAACATGTTTTTTTTTTTTTTTTTATAATTTCTTCTTTACCCAGTAACGTGGTCTAAACTAGTCCTGGAAATCAATTGAACAGAACCAAGCGGAAGACTCCCAAGCTAATTCTAAGCAAACAAAAAAGGCAAGAACAAAAGAAACAATAAACTCACCACAAGTGGCATCACCTCCTGTCACATAGGAAGTTGAGTATTCAACTACCCATAGGGGCAATAATGCGTGAATGTGCATGTGAATTTGGTGTTTGTCTTACCAACCCACCAAAACAAGAATAAACTAGCACCAGCAACCTAGCAAGTTTGGTTCTTTGGCAAGCAACAATCTCAAACAGGCTTCCTTAAAACCTGAGCTTTTCAAATTTCAGGAATGAGCATATCCCTTCCAGTTGAGACAATATAATAGAGTGCACCACCTTCTAATCGAGATGGAAAGCCACTGCCACAGGAGTCCTCTTTGCCCATAAAAGCAAAAACCTCATGCAATAACTTCTCTGTTTCTTTCTTTTTTCTTTATTTTATATTTTTAATGTTCAAACACCACTGACTTGTATTCAGAACCATAGCCCCCTGGACTGCACCCTGACCTCACAAAAAATCAGAAAATAATTTAAGAAGGGAGACTGTTCATTAGACAAAAGAACAAGAAGAGTCCAGAATAGGTTTTTGCTTGTTACTTTTTCTCTTTTTCAAATTTTATTATATGTTTTTTTTTTTCCAAAGTTCAAGCAAACGCACACACACCCCCAATATATTGCCCCTACCAGGACTTGAACAATCAACATCCCCTTTGGGAAGAAGAGATCATACCATCTAGGCTAATGCCCATTGGTAATTTTAATTTATGTTTTACTCATTTATGGCTTTCTAGAGAAGTACAACATCGTTAGACTTGGCCCTTGGGAAAAATTTCATCCACAAAATACAGGTGAAAACATTCAACTTTGCCTAATTCTAGGTGGGCTTCTGATGCCACACAAATCTCCAACAGAAGATATAAATATTAACAAAATTCATCGTATGGCACTATGGCCCATTTATTGCCGCATAAGGTCTCTCTCTATTCTCTCTCTGCATTATCATCCTTGCATTGATTGTAATTGAAAGGGGTGAATTCTTTTCTTCAAATCTTTTTTATACAAACTATGTCTCCTTGTTAGTTCTAAACCAACTTTTACCAATTTTTCAAGATTAATTGTTAATTAATCACAAAATCCTATAGTCTTCTAGGTCACCTACTGTGATTGAAAGAGCTTGAAGCAAGATCTCAATGTGATCCTTCAACTTGGTCTTCAATTAACAATCACAGATTTGACGCCGCAAGAAACCTCTCAAAAGGTGAAACTACAATATGAACCAAACCAAGACTATTCGCGAAATATGCCGACACAGGAAACCTAGAATTACAGATTCCTCTTTCTTTTTCTTTTTCTTTTTTTCCCATTTTGTTGGTTTAAATATCTTCTTATATTAGGAACAGGGCTCTTAATATCTTCTATAGGATACTCCTCATGTAAGAGCCAAAACAATTATATCTAAAATGACTTCATTTTTAAGCAACATTATTTGGTCTATATCCTTAATGCATCTTACTTATCCATACTCTAGTCATTATGCTAGTATGAAATTTTTATCTTCACCCTATTTTCTACCTAATTTTTCATACAACTTCTTTAATGCCCTTTTTTAGTATCATTTTTAAATTTTCATATGCCTTTCTAAGTTCTCTTGCTTTTCAATCTTTTATCATTCTTTGAAGCTCTTTCTTTGATTTAATTTTGCATCTCATCATTCTACCATTATGTTTCTTTCCTTATCAAATTATTCACTTCGGTCACTCCTGGAGGAGGTATGCATAGGTCTATTTGCTTGATTTGAGATTGCTTGTCGTCAACTTTTAGATTTTCAAGTTAATTCTCAATTGATCACATCAGCACGGAGCACATGAATTCAACACAAAAATTAAAAGCAAGTAAAAATGGATAGAAAATGCTACATTTTTTACATCAAAAACCCAATGGGTAAAAAGCACAGGACCTTGTCCAAAGCAGCAATTCACTATCTCTAAAGAAGAAGTTATACACAACTTTACTCAACCCAATACTACCCATAAAATAAGAAGAAAATAAGCTTTATGAGGAACCGAAAACACTTTTATCTTTTCTTTAATGATTCTATAATCACAATGAAATTGTTTTTATAAATTACCTTAAAGCACAATTAAAATGACATTCATATAATATACACAATGCAATAATAAAATGCATACTTAAATAAAGTAATCAAATAAAATAATTATTGACTTTTGATGGCATTTATATCTAACAAATGATTTTAAGAAAGTCAAAATTTTCTTATACCTGACAAATGATTTGAAGTAATTAAAAAAACAATAATAAATCTAGGAGGAGACAAGGTGTATAATAAGAAAGAATTTAAATAAATAAATAAATAATCACATATTTTTGGTGAAAAAAGAGTGGGAATTTCGCTTTTAATTTTTCATTTTCTCATTTTTCCTGACCGTATTAAAATAATCCAAAACAATCACAAACGTACCTTGACGGAGGAACAGAGGTCCGGCACCGACTTCCGGTGCGAGAGAACGCTGGCCGCAATGTTCCGAGATATGCCAACGAACTGAAGGTCGGTGTTTCCGTCAAAAACAGCGTAGACGCCGGAATCTGACGGAAGTTGTGCGGCGAGGTCGTCTGATTCCGGCGGTAGGGAAACTAGGTCCGCATCCGAAAGTTTCGGGAGAGCTGAAACGACGGTAGTTATAGAGCAAGGTTTAAAGGTGCGTTTGAGTCTGAGAGAATGAGAAGGGAAGGCGGTGAGAGACGGTTTAGGGTGGAGATAGAATGAGATTGTGGGGGCATTTTGGGGAGAATAGGAAGAGAGTACACGCAGAGAAGAGGAAGTGAGTATTGATGATGATGATAGGTTGATTGTTGCCATTGGAAGGAAGAAGCTGAGAAGCAAAGAGTTGAAGAACGAAGACAAATTAGACTAATCGATCGATCATCAAACCACACGAGCATTAGATATTTCTAATCCGGTGAAAGTGAAACAAAGCCGTACTCATATTTTATGTTTTTATTTTTAGTGTGCAATTTTCGTCTAATTACAAATGCCCCTCTTGGTATTGAATAGGAGTGATTCAAGCTTCACTTGTCCCACGTCGGATTCGTATCTGAAGTGGCTTAAGATTTTTGTTCTTGATTCGGTACTACGCCAAGCGCCCGATTCGGAAAGCGTCCGAGTGTGCTACCCTGGTAGGTAGAATGGCCCGACTGATTCGGAAGGCGTCCGAGTGTGCTACCTTGGTAGGTAGAATGGCCCGACTGTAACGAGAGCGTTGTGAGTTCGAATGGGGTAGAATATTACAAGGAGAGAATTATCCCATATCGAATCCAGATGAAAATGAGTATAAATGGGTAGACATGTAATACTACTAAATGGCGCTGACTCGTTACAATAGAAAACTCTAACATGACACCCCAATTCTATGCATCAAACCAGTTCAGGTAGAGTCATGACATACCAGTTCAGGCAACTCTACCGCCATTTAGTAACCCCTAAATAATAGTAAGTATTAGATTATTTATATTTTGTAACTTTGTTCTATTTAAATCAAATCACAATTATTATGAAAAAGTATATTATGAACACTAACACAACATTATAAATTAGCAAATTGAATTCTGAAACACAAACAAAACTAATAAACCACAAAGGGCATCAATTAATTCAGAAGGCAATGAATGCCAATCTGAATAATTTGCTGCTAAATTTTGATTTCTTGATTTTACTTTTTATTATTTTTTTTTTAGCGGTTACATGAGCCCAAATCAAAGAAGAGATATCAATTAATATTTTTAAGTTTTGTGTACTTATTTGCTTTGGTTCAAAAAAATTCTACTAAAGTTCAAGATTTTAAAGATTTAAATGATAATTGTGTACTAATAATTTATATCCAAAGAGTTTATGCATTTGGCAGTTTCTGACTAATAACTGATTTATTAAATGCAAAATTTATGGGTTCCAAACTTCCAATTGTTACCAAAATCTGTTTTTCTATTAGGAAAACTATAATAAAAAAAGATACAGAATTTAACCGAGTACATGCAGCGGACACTTTTAGGGAAAACTCAATCAGGATCAATCTTTAATGACCATCTGAATGAACCCATAAACAACCAGATACAAACTAGTAGCCAAAATTGGATAAGAATATTTAAATTATCTCATTCTTGGGATGTCGCGTCCATGGGCACGGCTTCTGCAGACTCCTCACCCTTGTCACCCTTCTTGCCTGAAAAATGCAAAAGATCAGAATCCATGTACATAAGCAAAATAATTCCATTAAAAAATTAACCGTATTCGTATTGTTACGCCAATTACCTTTCTTCTTCTTCCCACCACCTTTCTTCTTTGTTTTCGTGCCCAATGCTAACCAGGCTTTAATTTCAGGGTCATCTACTGTTTTAGTCGGCTGTATGTCCTGTAGAGGATGGGATGTAATGCGATCTGACCCATTTGGCATGAGCAGAACAGTAAATTTGATATGAGCAACAAAATCACCTGCACCAACGGTAACCAATATCTTAACATAAGTGGAACAACATGTACAAAATCAGGTGTTACACTTGCTAAACCAGACAAAAATTAAACTTGGATGGCAGAATGAGAATGCAATCAAATTTCTGCAAACCTAAGCCAATAATCTCTTACCAGGCTTCTCATGAAGAACAGGATAAGGTTGCAAAAGATCATGATTGACGCATTCCACTAGTCCTAACCGAGCCCGCTTCTCTTCTAGGGCCCTGTTGTGAAAAGCATCACCCACTTAATGTTAGGGTAAAAAACATAAGATACTTGATGAAGGAATCATATGAAAAAGACACCAACCTTGCAGTAAATGGCATGATGGGAAATTTTTGATTTATTTCACTGAAAATGAACCTAGACGTTTTCATCTTTAGGTGATAATTCTTGTCAACAGCTCTTTTATAGATGGTTGTCTGTTTTTCATCCAACAACTTCGGCTGCAATTTTGGCACCAAAAATTTTAAGAACTGAAAGCAAGAAGATGATGCATGAGAATATATTTTTGGGATAACAAAGACTAACCTTGCCATCACCTGTGCTTGTGACTATATCAATTGCGTAAACTTCATTTTCCTCAAATTCGGCATCATCTACTTTTGTGTCTGGGTTGGAGACACTCAATATGACCTTGTTTCCGTCAATCACAAACTGTTTTAGTTGATGACTGAGAACACCTTCAACAATTTTGCAGTCATAGGCAGCAGCAACCTTCTGAATTGCTTCTGTTACATCTTTGTTCTGCAATAACCAAAGAAACTCAGTTAACAGATTCAGGGACAATCAGATCAAAGAAGTACTCAGATCCACTAATCAACTCCTATAGTCTTCATATAACAAGAAGAAAATTAAATTAATATACATATAATATTAATACTAACCAACCCAAACTCATTTCACAACCAATAATACTTGCTCAAGTCGAAATATACATTCAAGGATGTACACTGAGTCATGCAGGTCTTGTAAAAAATAAAATTGGAAAGCACTGAGCAGGTAATTATAGCAAGTTTTCCTCACAATAGTAGGTATTATCGAAATCCCCCACCATGTGTTGCAACATCCACGTGGTAACCTATGTGTTGGCTTCATAACCGTTTCTGATGTAGCTAGTACACAAGAAGTATGTATCATATTTTAAGCAACCACAACAAGTATGTGTTGGCCACAGATGGATGAATGTGAACCGACTGAAAAACCGATTCCAGGCTTCCACTATGTGGCCTATTACAATATAGGCAACAGGGAAAAAGAGGAAACCCATACAAGCAGGTCACCTCGGCAAAGTTGCCTTTATTACAGTCTAAAAAGCACGCATCTAAACATTTACATTCTTTTCATTTTTACATTGCAACCTAAATAATATTTTACCCTCATATTCTTGTATTAAAAGTTGCCTTTATTACAGTCTAAAAAGCACGCATCTAAACATTTACATTCTTTTCATTTTTACATTGCAACCTGAATAATACTTTTACAGTCATATTCGTATATTAAAAGGTTGTGTGTAATTTCTTCGTAAAAGGGAAAAGCTATCTCTAGAAAACATGTTGGCCAGAGATGGATGAATGTGAACCGACTGAAAAACAATTCCAGACTTCCACTATGTGGCAAGTTACAATATAGGCAACAGGGAAAAAGAGGAAACCAGTACAAAACAGATCACCCCGGCAAAGTTGCCTTTATTACTGTCTAAAAAACATGCATCTAGGCATTTACATTCTTTTCATTTTTACATTTCGATTTGAATAAATATATGATTGTCTAGGTGGTAATCAAGATAAGCAACTGAAAATGGCAATAACAATTACCCATGAGAGACTCCTATATAATTCCATTTTGGACTTCCTTAATATGTTTTACAGAAACATGCTTAAGATAGAAGTCTGGCTAGAAGAATTAGTGAAGAGGCTACAACAGGAAAAACAATCAGCGAACACTCCTATATGAATAATTCCTAAACTGCATTTACACAATTACAGTAACAGTTCTGACAATCTACTCATTAACTTCTAAATTATTGCTAAAAATTCATCAATAAGAGTATAGACTCTCACAGGCGAACATCTTGCTTATTGAGGATAATATGCAACAATTAGGCAATAAAAATGAATTTCCAGTAGCTTCATTGTTTGGATTAAAGAAATGAACAACCAAATCCAGAAAAATATCAAATCTCCTTATTAGAGTTAAACAATATCAAACAATAAATCTAATACCAGTAGAACAACATTAATTGCCGTATCTGGAATATATTAAATGTTGGCGCATGTGCGAGAATGGGAATCAACCATTGAGAAGGGGGATCAACCAAAAACACTTCAGACTATAGCCAAGATAATATAGGCAACAAGGAAAAAGGACATCAACAAGTAATTGATTACCTCAGCAAAGCTGATATTTTTGCAGATTTTTTGCAATATTATATTAGTAGTACTTATTATAGTATAATTATACTTATCAAAAAATTATAATAATACTATTATTACTACATATTATTAAACACTACCCCAGTACTGGTCCAAATTCAATATATTCTCACTACATTTACTATTAATTAATAATGCTATCATTACTACATATTATAAACACTACCCCTCAGTACTTGTCCAAATTCAACATATTCTCACTACATTAGGCTTTATATTTCTTCAATTCTTATAATTTCTGCCTTTATGACTTGCACAATAGGAATACATACAAATATAAGATGATTTGTCAAGACATTTAACCAAATCAAATAGTTATAGGGTTTACATGAAAACATGATACAATATTATAGTCAACACCGCGCACAAAAATTAAATGACGCCAAGGCAAGAAAACCTTATGATAGACAAAGTTCGCAACCAGAACACACAAACATGCACAGAGGGCAGCTTTAGATGGCACTACAGCAGAAGTTTCATTCTTGGGATCACTTATTTAATTATTTTGATAAGCCCCTGGGCTACTTCGCTTGTTATTAGAACTTCTTCAGTCATTTAAGATTAAAAAATCAAATGAGATTCTTATAGACAAGAAGAAACCTTCAGAGAGAGATGCCAAGGGAGACAACTCTGATGACAAAACTGAAAATTATCCCAAATTTATATGTAACCACCCATAAACAATTTGAACATCAGTTCTTGGGATAGCCAAACATTGACAATAACATGCACTCAATATTGAACACTCAACCCAAGATCAAGCAAAATCATGAAAAAGGTCCAGAAGTACACAGGATTCAATTCAACAGAGTTGAGTTGTGTGAAACTGGCATCCCCTATCAGAGTAACTATGACAATAGCTCCATTTGGATGTTGGTCCATAGCTTATTAAGATTGTTCATCATTTAGGGGAAGCATGAAATAGTCAAAAACAAAAACAACTTCCCTAATATATTTGCCAAATCACTACATAAAAAATGGGTATAGTTGTTTTTCCCTGAAAATGAATGGGTAGTTAAGGGTGGCAATTTCGTGAAAAAGGTCAATAAGTACACATGACTTCATACAAAGGAGTTGAGTTGTGTGAAAATGACATCCCCTATCAGTGTAACTATGACAATTGCTCCATTTGGATGTTGGTCCATAGCTTATTAAGATTGTTCATCATTTAGGGGAAGCATGAAAGAGTCAAAAACAAAAACTACTTCCCTAATATATTTGCCAAATCACTACATAAAAATTGGGTATAGATTTTTCTTCCCTGAAAATAAATGGGTATAGTTAAGGGTGGCAATTTCTTGAAAAAGGTCCAGAAGTACACAGGACTTCATACAAAGGAGTTCAGTTGTGTGAAAATGACATCCCCTATCACAGTAACTATGACAAATAGCTCCATTTGGATATCGGTCCATTGCTTATTAAGATTGTTCATCATTTAGGGGAAGCATGAAAAAGTCAAAAACAAAAACAACTTGCTAATATATTTGCCAAATCACTTCATAAAAAATGGGTATAGTTAGGGGTGGCAATTTCAATTTTCATCCAACCCGGCGGGCTGGACCGCCCTGCCCCTATTATGACAGAAATGGGATATCCTTTATAGAGTTAGGGACACGTATGGTAATATTTTTTAAAACCTAATTTGGGTTCGGGGAGGGATTGGTTTTAACTTTTATGTTATCCCACCCTACCAAAGTTACAATATATATAGTATTTATTTAGTTTACATTTTTGCCATTAATATATATATCATATAACTCCCAAACCCTAATATGCAACCCTCTCCAAACAAACGCCACCTCCCTCATTCACGCCTCTCCCAACCCCTAATCTGCCACTGGTGGGTGCGCCTCTCTCACAACTTCCCCAATGGCAGTCACCTACCAAGAACCCTCTTTCTCATGGCGAACAAGAAAAAGATGAGGAAGCAAATTTGTGCTGTTAATGCCATTCGAGAAGACGACTGTGTGATAGGTTTTCGTAATCAGTGATCTGGTATTTCCACATTGCCTTTGTAATATGCATGTGTGTATTTACATATATATATATACACACGGGTACAATCTTGCTTGCATATTGCTCTTTTGTTGATATTTGAAAGGAAATGTGGTAGAAACCGGATGAGACGGGATGGGGACAGGGCGTTAACCCCATAGTCGAGACGGAGATGGTGCTAGGAGTATAAACCCGTCCCAGGCAGGGGACAGGGATGGGTTGACAAAATTTTCAAGGTGGAGGCTAGGGTTTAGCCAAATCCGCCTCGTGCCATCCCTAGGTATAGTTGACAAGAACAGAATCATGATAATTTGAAAAGCAAATCAAATATATATATAATGACCAAAAAAAACAGCATCATGATCAACAAAATTAATTTGTACATTATTAAGTCAATTCTGTAGCAATATAAGTATGATGACTCATTAAGTATGTCATCGAACAAAAAAATTATTACTGTCATAAAAGACACAACACGTTGAGGGGTGCATTATGACAAATCTGGAAAGTTGTAACTATGGAATGTAGCTTCATCCGGAGCTTACTTCGTAGCTTTTAATCTTAAATTGGAAGAAATCATGTTCTCTGAATACATTTGAGAGAGAGAGAGAGACGAGGATGGGGGGGGCCTTTCAACAAAGAGAAGGCAACTGATGAGTGACAATATGACCTAATCAAACAGATGATATACTATTGAACACAGACCAAGCGTTAGCAAAATTGTGAAAAAGTCCGAGAAGTATACTGTAATTAGAGGACACACTATACTACTTATAACTGACTTGTGTTGTGTGAGCATGATATCGCCTATCAGAGTAACTATGACAAACAGCTCCATTTGGATGTTAGTCCATAGCTTATGAAATTTGTTCATCATTTAGGAAGTGAGAAAGAGTAGAAAAGCGCGCACACCTTTTATTTGTAATTTCCAAATCAGACACTAATGGTGTATCTAGTGGTACATTATGGCTGATCGGTGTAACTAGGACACAAAGCATCACTTGCAGCTTGCTCCATAGCTTTCAATGGCTTCTTTAGATATAAGAAATCATGTCCTCTAAGGATGCCTCAGAAAAATCAATTGAATCAAACAAGAGAAGGCAAATGACGAATGTGAATAAGCACAACAAATCATTCAAACGTACTTGATCATTGAAAACACTTCATATTTGATGGAAGTAAGATAAAAATGCCAATAATGATCTTTGGACATATCAAACGGAAGTTGTTACTAGTCTACGCAAATTGGCATAAAAACAAAGAATGTATCCAGAGTTTGAAGGTGGGCATATGCAGCTAGTTTTTAATGTCTTAAATATTCAGAACATGTTTAACACTCGGCCATTATCCAACAATATACTGAATTACGTTTGTTCCCAGATTTAGAAAAAATCATAGCATGAAATGTAATGTTTCCATAAATATAAAAGAACAGGAATCATGTTTGAATTCACCTATAAGTCCTGCATGTGCACAGAAAAGGAAATCAATCAAAAAGAAGCTAAGTACTTTCAAAATTCTTTACCCCTATAGAGTTCCTTTTTTTGTATACAGTCAACCATTACTCAAAATTCGACAACTACAACCCATAATGGTATAGTATTTGGAAAAAAAAAAACAAAAGTAAAACCCAAAATCTACAATAAAATTACCTTCCTTCCAGGTCTTACGAGCCTCAATGCAACTTCAGCAGCAGTATTTGCTGCAGCAATAGCATCAGCTATCCTACCAGTCACTGGACCTCCCTGTAGGACATGAGTGTGTGCAACTACAGCAATGAATCCATCTATGTGACAACCCATATCACTGCATCCAAATAAAAACTCAACATTATTCAATCAAATTATTGTCAGTTTTCCACCATTAACTGATGAATAAAAATAAATTGAGCTAGAAGAAATCTTACATCTTTATTATATCACCTTCTTCTAACACTGTCTCATCACTAGCAAGTGGAGAGAAATGACACAGAGTATTGTTTACAGAAATACATGTTGGGAATGCAACACCCCTTTCAATCTTCTTCTTAACATTTTTGTACATATTGCCAGTTTGCCTGTATAGCATACATTTGCATCAAATTGGTTTCAATAGAACCCAAAATATAATTTAGTAATTCATAATTACATGTGTGTGTGTGAAGCTTACTCTCTGATGAATGAATCCCCCTTCTCGCAAATGTCAACAACCTTAGCTTTTGGTTTGCATTCCGACACAACTAACTGCAGAGCCTCTGCATATGAATTTTTTTTTTTACAAGTTATAGTGAACTTTTCTAACTGGATGACCAAAATAAAACAACTTCTAATTAAAAATAATATTTATATGCAAAACTTACACATACACGGACTAAATACAAAATTAACATGAACATAATCGTTGCCATTGTGTGCCTGCCTTAATCCCATATGAATGGTGTAGGCCAGATGAATTCACTCTCCAAAATCTTTTCTATTACACACCATTTCACCTACTATATTTACCTTTTTAAATTTTTTAAGTCATTTTTTTATAATATGGACATAAATAATAGCCTCAATCTGCATTTTGGTTCTTTTTTCCCCTCAAACAAAGGTGGAAGTTTTAAGCTGCAAATATACATATCAACAATATATATATATAACAAAGGTGTAAATTTTAAGCTGCAAATATACATATCATATATATAGAGAGAGAGAGAGACAGGGAGAGAATTACTGTTAAGGATTTCAGCAGCGCTCTTGTATTTGGTGACTACTTCAGGAGAGGTGAGATCCAACTCCTTCTCTTCTCTTTCCTCGTCCGACATCACTGGGAACTTCGAAAATCCTTAAACTATAATCATCAATAACCAAAACAAAAATCAAAACGTATTAACAGAATAATTCTCCAAATCAGTTCGCAAACAAAGGGTATGATTAATTAGAAACCTAAACGCCATCGAAATGATAAAATGCGAAGAGAAACTTACCACAAAAATTGAAGGCGAAAGATTGAGATGAGCAAATAACTAGGGTTTGATACGAGATGTTTCGTCTGCTCAACGACCGCTCACTCGAACTAGGGTTAGAGGTCAGCAGTGCCGTCTTATATATAACGGATTCGCGTTACAGAGTCCGCGTTAGGGTTTTGCTTTATTTTTTGAGTATTAAATACCCATAATTATTACTATTGTTTTATGCATAATTGTCTATTTTCTTTTCTCTAATAAATGAAATAACGTAATTGTCCTTCTATTTTGAATTAAGTAAATACAAAATAATATAATTTTCTGTTCCGGCTAGGGCTTGCCTGGAAATCACAGATGTGTCTGTACTTTTGCTTGAAGCCAGAACAAAAGCAATGTTTTCGCTCTGAAGTGAATTCAATACTATTTGGTAATATGTATTTTTTGTAAGATTTTTTAAAGCAAAAAACATAAAAATATGCTAGGTAAAAAAATGTTGTATAAATGTTTTTTTTTTTATGCACTGTTCATTGATACAATGCTTGCGAAAGCAACCAATTGGTGCTTTCGGTTTTGGTCTCTTTTTTTTTTTTCGATTATATTCATATCACAGCAAAGATTATCAAATACACTACGGCTCCAATTGTTTTGATGTAAAATTGTTTTCAAAAATATTTTCTTTTATTTTTATAGTTTAGTGTTTTGCAAAGGCCTAGGTTTTGAGGTTGAGATCGAAATCAAATTCAGTAGGTGGGAGCCTATAAAATAATTTATCGAAAATTTATGGATAAGTTATTTTAGTTAAATTAAATAAAATAAAAAAAAATAAAAAAATAAAAAAAAATTCTTCATCGACAACCAAATACCAAAAAATAAACGTGTTACATGAAGCAAACAAAAAAAACATGAAGCATAAATGATTGCCAAACACCATAATTTAGTGATTATCCAAAATTACATTCTTACATAATTTAACTACAATTAAAGCTCTAGTCTTTTGTTGTGCACTGAATTTTTATTGATAACTTCATTTGAAAGCGGGCCTCCATTATAATTTAAAGGTTATTGGTTCAAAATGAAATAAAAATGACAGGCCTTTTACCTTCTCTTAATAAAATTCGAGGCTTAAAGCCTATATAACACGAGAAAAACGTAAATATGTTTAGGCATTTTTAGTTATATTTATTTATATATAATAACCATAAACTGGGATGATATGGACAAACTCGTTAAACCACAAAAATTCTCTTTACAAATTAATTATTAAAATAAAATACATACAATATAGGATTGAAAGGAGTCCTATCCTCATTAGTGCATTTGTTTTTTCTTTATTTTTTTCATTTTGAAGGAGTAAATTATATAACAAATTGTATATAGATTAGCAATAATTTAGATAGTAGTAACCACCAAGGATTTTAGTAATTCCTCACATCATAAAGTATAACATTGAGAATTCAAGTCTCGTAAAAATTAAGAGAATATGCTAGTTTTCTTGCTACAGTAAAACTGCATGTTTAATGCACGTGGCTAAAATTAAAGTTTTATGTATGACGGATGCTTAACATTGAGATGCATATTTTATATATTTTTAATTACAAATTAATTTATTCGATCTAAAGTATGTGAAGAGCAAAAACACAAAAAATAATATATTGATACGTTCATAACTAAATAAATGTGTTCCTATTTTAGAGTTTTGAATCGAATTCTCTTAAAAGAATCATATTTGAGAGGGAGGATACGACCTAACAATACAAAATAAATTCGGATCTCCACCAACTTACAATTCAGACAAATATTAACTCTATAAAGTTGACAACTATGATAACACAAGAGCTTGATAGTCTAGTATTGCAAGGCTATGAAATTATAGCATTGGGGACCAAAACATTTTTTTGAAATTGTATTTTTTGAATGCAAAATGAAGTCTAAGAATTTATTATCGAGAAAGCTAAGCATCCAAATAAATATTTTGGTCTTGACATTTTATCAAATTTATAAACTAAGCATCAAAACAAAAAATATGTTTCATAACAAATTTCCAAGTAAATGAAATAATTATACTACAAAATTGCATAATATAATGCAGAGGCAACTAAATATATGTTCTTTATTTGTGCTGCAATAAGTACTCATAAGTAGATAAATATCAATGGAATTTTAAATAAACATATATAAAATATAACACGGACTACAAAACCATAAAAACTTGCCTTAAAAAGAAAGAAAGTGTCACTTCAAATTTTTTCCCCTTTAAATCAGGGTTGGGGCTGCTAGAGGACAACTAAAAGTTAACGGGGTCCAGTACTTTGTTAACTATTTTACTATTTCTTCTTAATTTTAATTATTTATGTTGTTAAATTCTTATTCATTGTTGTATTCATATTGTTCTATTTAGTTTAATAAAAAGTTTTACGAATTCAGTATTCATCATTAATGTGTTCTTGTTATTATGACTCATGGATCAACAAATTTGTTGCATAGGGTTCTTGATGTATTATATTTTTTATTTTTTAATTTGTAAATTATGTCGAATTTCCCCAACATGGTGTAACTCCTTAAATTTTCACGGGAATGCTTCTATTCCGTGATTTTTGCCAAGAACGTCCAATGTTGTAGCAAGTTTCTCAACGGGAGTTGGTGGATGTATATTATTATTATTTTTTTAAAAAAAGTTTGGAAAAATTTAAGATTTTGTAGAAAAGTTAGGAAAAATTCAAGAGGTGTGGTGACAAAGGCATTTTTTTTTTTAGTAATATACCCTATTAATTTATTAATTTTGATATATATACCTATAAAATTAAAAAATTACACTATTGCCCTTCACACAATTTTCTCTCCATCCATGAGAGGTGCAATAGTAAATGTTCACATGAATATTATAATGGATAGGTACTTAAGTTGTTGAGCATGACACATATCCGCCCATACTCAAGCTCTTTTCCATCCAAATTCGGTGAGGTCAAAACCCCTGTATCATTATCTGCCGTAGGCTATGTTTGGTACAATGAAAAAGAAAAGAAATGATAGGATTAATTATGAGTGAAAAGAAAAGAAATAAAACGAGAGGATATAGTGTTAACCACTTATTGTATTTGGTTGGTTAATAAAATAAATTAAATTATAGTAATTATGTTTGGGAAATAAAGGAAATAAAAATATTATCATGAATTTACTATCATACAATTTTTTTTTTAATAAATTTTGCCTATAAAAAGTAGGGCAAATTTGTATTAATAAAATTTCATTAAAAAAATTAGTCTTTCATTTTATTTCCTTCCTTTTCCTCCCATTTTTGAAGGTTAATAAAAACAACACATCCTATATAATTTGTTTCCTTCCGAATCCATCTGTTTCATTTATTTTCCTTTAAAAATTCATACCAAACACAATATTTGATTTTCCTTCATCACCTTTATTTTTATTTTTCCTTCCAGTACCCTCCAATCAAACCGGGCCTTAGGGTTTTGCTTTACTATAATATTAATAAATACCGTTAATTATCAGGTTTTTTTTTCTATTTTTTTAATAAATAAAATAACATAATTGTTTTTTTATAAAAAAAGTTTAAGTAAATACGAAATAACATAATTGTCCTTGAGAAATATGCTTTATTAGTAACTTAATACCGTGGCTAATACACATAATTTTCTGCTAGTGCTTACTACTTTCTGCTAGTCTTGTGTTGTGCAATGAATTTATAGTGTTACTTATTATTATTATTATTTTATTTAGTGCGGAATTGCGGATCTCTATTATGATGACATGAAGGTTACATGTTGAAATAGAAAAAGAAATAAAACAATCTTGTACACGGAAATAATCTTTTATATTTTTTTTAACAAAAGAAATACACACACATGTTTTGGTATTTTTCTTTTATTTTAGGTAAAAAATTTAGGTACTATTTAATAAAACTAAAAATATTAAGAATTATAATTATAAATACTGGAAATTTTAAGTGGTAATTAAAATATAAATAATTTTTTGTATATTTTTTTTAAATTTTTTAATATTTAATATTCAGTAATAAGTGATATCTCTGTCACTTAAAATTTTATCCCATTTTAAATGATACTCAGAACACACCCACTTATTTGAAAAAAAACACTTAAGAATTTACTCCTCCCCCTTCTAAAATAGAAGTTTGATAATTCAATTCAAACTCTATAAAAACAACGTGGGTGTGTGAATTTTCCTTTTCTTGGCAAGCTAATATATATATATATATGAATAATGTTTTCAAGGAAGCTTCCTCTTGCCATGAGTTCTTCATTTTAAACAATGAATTGAAAGATATATTAAATAATCAATTTGAATATTTACAAATCTCAAAAAATTATTTTAATACAGAGTTCATAACTCTTCTGGTGACAAAGCCCTCTTGAGAACATTCTATATATATATGTACATATATATAATATTTAGTAGTTTCACAAATAATAGTAATTGAGTCTGGTTTGAGAGTCATCATTGAGTTGTGGGTGTTAGGTTACTAAGGTGCATCTTCATACTCGTAACCTACCAGCAGAGGTTTATAAATACCCCATTTACGACATTTAACGCTTGCCAAACAACATCACTGTATTTGAAAGATAATGTTTGCCTTTACTCTTTTAGTTAACTGAATTTTGGATTTAAAATAAAACACCATTTTTGTGTTTTGAACCTATTGGAATTTAGAAAGAAATTGATTACTCTTATTTATTTATTTATATTTTTCATAGTTTAACCTGCAATCTATAATTTGTGTTCTATAGCTTTGGCCAAACCGCATACCTGAACACAGAGAAAGGTTGGTGTGTGTTCCCAATTTATCAACCGAAAAGGAACAGCCAATAAAATGTGAGCTTTAATGAGGGTGTTTATATGGTTACTTGATTTTAAGGAAGAAAAAAACAAGTATTAACTTTCAAATACTATGGAAATCAATTTTGAATAGCTGATGACCAATGAATTGAAATGAATTTTTAAAAAATTTGCAAAATATGAAATAAATTATTTAATAAAATTTTGAATTATAGCCCTAAGAACAATTTTTTATTTTTTATTTGGTATTATTACTCTCTGAATAACATGACTCTTTTACACGTTAAACATAAAGTAAAGCAAATTAATGCAAATTTACGGACAAATTTAATAGACAAGGACTCGAATATAAATACATCCGAAAAACTTAACGCCCTACTAATTAAGCTAGTCGGTAACACCGTACTTACTCGCGTACCCCTCTCGCACCAGACAGCTCCATCCGCTAATAATCTCAATCCCATCACCCACACGTCGCCCTCCACTCTTCCCTGTCAAGCCTCGCACTACTACGCATAATCGGCTGCGGCAACTTTCAACCACGTATAAATGTCAATGGCACTCAAATTCTCTTCTTTTTCTTCGGTGTTTAAAGTTCCATCTGGTTCTTCTATGTTAAGCTGACGTGGGCCTTCAATAATCAGAGGTGACCAAGTGGGAAAGGATTGGACCAGGTCAGCGACATGAATAGCCTGATGGCGCTGTTTCGGTCGGTAAAAATAGCCACTAACCGGTGACCACCAAACACCAACTTTTTTCAACATCTGCAATGGGAGTGTGAAGAGGGTTGAGGATGTGCTTTATTTTCTCGCCAAAATATATATAACAGAGTCCCTATCAGTTGCTTTCACTACTTATATATATATATATATATTTCTGTTCTTGGTTGATTTTCTTCTCTTATTGTCAAATTCTCAAAACGCAGAAGAAAGCAATTCCACCCTCGTTTCCACTACCAAAAAAGATTCCACGGTTGGTTTGGTATACAAAGTGTGTGTCTATATATACGGATATATAATCATGGGTGGCCTTTCCCAATTCTATGTCCACAATCCTTATTGGGGTTTTCTCCGTTCAACACCACCAGGTAGGGTTCCGCCTCTGTTCCCGCCAATTATGACGCGGAGCTCAGGTTGGGTTTTCCAGTTGTGTGATTGCTAAGGTTTTTGGGAACATGGGTTCTTGGTCATGTCACTGATTTTTCTTCTCATTATGTTTATGTAATTTTTTTTGGGATCTATTGGGTTTGGGTAGTGGGTATTGAATTGAAGAAGAGGTGTGTTTGAAGGTTTAGTTTTCGCCAAGGCCTTGTAATTTTGTGCAAGCCATGGCTTTTAGTTGCTGGGGTGCTCTCAATTCTTGTAAAGGAAAGCGTGGCCGTGGCGAAACCCAGACAGAAGGTAAGAAGATGTATATGAATTTCATATGTAATGTGTTTTGAGAAAGTTCCTAATGGCATCACTTTGCTTTTGTTTAATTGCAGCAGTATATATCTTCTTCCTTAATGTTGAACTTGTATCCATTTATATGGAAAACATTCTATTTGAGTGTCTGTTTTGTGAATTATCAGTAGTTCAGGAGAGATAAGGAATTGAACTTTTTGGGTCAATTGACATTTGGGAAAAATATTTTATTCTTTCTGTGCATGTTCCGAAACCTTTTTGGCACATGTTTTTGCTTTGAATGTGTTAAGCAGAATGTATCACTTGTATAAACTATAAACTCCTGTTGGAGATCAATTCCCTCTTTCTCATACCCAATTGCATCTTTCTTTGTGACCATCTCCCTCTGATGCCATACAGTGATCACCCCGAGGTTTTGTGTTTGTCAATGGCAAATAGCTGGTCTTAGTCCCAATCAAGCTTGTGGATGTATGAAAAGTTCTTCAGCTTAAAGTCAGAGTCAGAAAGTCAACTTACATAATATAGTCCAAACTACTACATATTTCAGAAGTTCCCGAACTAATAATGTTCATAACATTGGTAAAAGTTAGGTCAGGTTAAGTGAACCCAATACACTGACCTCACCCCTGTATCACTGTTGCCTGAACTGAGTTAATTTCTACAGGTGAACTTTCATCACATATACTGTAAAACATAATGTGTAATTTCAAAATGTAAGCTTGAGATGCAGGACCATGGTTTTGATCCTGGCCTCTGTGACCATTTAATTTTTGCTATATGTCAACTTTTTATCGAAGTAGTAGACTGGAAATGTTACCAAGTGTTCTGTTTGAAGTCTGTTGAATGGCATGGATGAAATTGAATTTGTGAATTTGGGCAGGATGTTTTTGAATTAAGTATCCAGAATTAAATTGGTTGCAGGTTTCAGAAATTGGAAATTCTGCCCGTGAATTTTTAAGTCTCATAATGTTCTGGGTGAAAGCGACGTAAAACTGAAATTTTATAATAATATGCTCTCTGTTGTTTACATGCATGTGACAAAGACAAAAGCAAAAGTCTAATTCTATCATATATGTAAATGATTGTCCCAAAATGATACTGGTCATTTAATCCCAACTATCAAAATGATTTGGTTGGAATTTTTTTCCTTGAAATTTTATGTTCTCAACTGATGGCACAAATTATAAAGATTTTTGGTCTCTGTGGTGGAATGGTGGTTTTCTCATTGTGTTTGTGTTCTTAGCCTCTGAGGATGCTTTTTACTTGTATTTATCTTTGCTTTTACCTGTAGATTCTCCCTATTGTTAAAATTTACCTGACGAGTTCCTTGCTTGTGTTGTTGCGTATTTGTGCATGCTTAGAGCTTGCTACCAACAATGTAAGACTCTTTTCCTATAATTCATTGAGGTCAGCAACAGGGGACTTCCATCCATCAAACAGAATAGGCGGTGGTGGTTTTGGAGTTGTCCATAGGGTGAGGTTACTGACTATTATATATTATCAGTTAACTTTGTAGTCCCTACAAAATCAATAAAGGGGAAAGAGAGAAACGGGAAAAGGCGTTGCCTGGTACCTCACATGTGTGCAGATGTGATTCTATGGTCTACTTTCCCTTTTCCATTTTTTTTTATGTAGTGATACCTACATGTGTTACTGTATACAATTGCAGGGAGTTTTAAGGGATGGAACCCGGGTTGCCATCAAGTCTCTCTCTGCTGAATCAAAGCAAGGGGCAAGCGAGTTCTTGACAGAGATTAATATGATATCAAATATCCGGCATCCAAACCTTGTCCAACTTGTTGGATGTTGTGTTGAGGGCAGTAACCGGATATTGGTATACGAGTATCTTGAGAACAACAGCCTTGCCAGTGTTTTACTTGGTAAATATCTGAATTATGAACATTTAAACTTTTATTCGAAGTTGGCTTTTATGTTAGTTGAGATGAATGCATATTAAAAAGATCTACAGAATACGGTGAATATTAAGATTTAGCTAATCTATAACTTTCCATTTCCGCACTCCTACCTTCCAAAACAAGTTAGGCAAACTGGTTTCAATTGAATGTTTGCTCTGGCGTGTTGCTTAAAAGGGGATCCTTAGCCAAATTATGGCACTTGATGGAGCAAACTAACCAGCTACTTATCTATTTAACTCCTCGCGCGTGCGTGCGTGAAAGCATTGATCTCTATATGCATGTATATTTGTAAAATTGGATTTAGATATTGGACATTATAAAGCCACCAAGTTTCTCTGGTCAAGGTATTTCTCAATAGACTATGTAGTTATCAACTTTTGAGCTAAGCCGAAGTCTAATATCTTTCATTTCAGGTTCAAAAGGTAAACATGTTACTCTAAATTGGCCTCAGAGAGCTGCTATTTGTATGGGCACAGCTTCTGGTCTTGCTTTTCTTCATGAGGAAGCTGAACCGCATATTGTCCACAGAGATATAAAGGCCAGTAATATACTTCTTGATGAGAACTTTCATCCTAAAATAGGAGACTTTGGACTGGCTAAACTCTTTCCAGACAATGTCAGTCACATTAGTACTCGAGTGGCAGGAACAATGTAAGCATGAATTGCTTCCTTCTTATATGCTTTCTTGGCGTGCTACTTGAATTTTTTACCTGTACCAGAAGTTGCACAAGATGAGTTTTTTTTCCCTCTCTCTCTCTCCAAAACATGATCAACTATTTTACTCTGGAAATTTACTGAAGTTATTTGGAATTTAGGTGATTATATTCACTTGCTAACATAGAAGATGTTACAGAAAACTATTCTGTGTACTTGGGAAATATCAATGGATCCCCTGAGGATTACCTACTAGGCCAGTAAATGTTTACCACAAAATCATAGAAAGTAGAAGTAAATATTATTGAATGTTAATAAATAAAGAGTTTCCTTTAATGAAAAAAAAAAAAAAGTAGAAAAGAAGAGTAATCGCATTCAGAATAAACAAACAGAAAACGAGAGTAATCAGATTCAGAGTTTTATTTATCTTGTCTATAGCATCGGGTTGCTTCTTTTTTCCATAAAATGTCAAATGGCCATAGCTTGTACCATTGACATTGGCAGATGTTTCATCTAGCTTTTGATGCATAGCTGACTTTCCTATTCTAGATAGTATGTACTTGCTCCATTGAAGCTTTTATTTTGATAGCTTGCTTTATGGGATTACTGAAAGTTACCAATAGACCAACATGCACTCAAGTTGTATGGTGTAGAGTTCTGCATCAAATTCGCAAATGTTGGCTTCCTGAAAAATATATTTGCAAATTGCGTAAGAGTTTTATTCTTAGCTATGATATATTGCAAGGAAACAAGTTGAACTTGGCCATTTAGCGGACAAAAAAAAAAAAGAAAGAAAAAAAGAAAAGGAAGAAGACGCTGAACTTGGCATAATTAACCAGAAGACTTGTACAGGATCTAGTTTCCAGAGAATTGATAGTTTATTGTATTTCAAGAGTAGAGACACTTTTTAAAAAAGTTCAATTGTTTTCCTTACACATTATATTCTAATTATGTAATTCATGAAAAATTTGACGATTGTTATTCGTGTCATATATTTAGATCTTGTACCATAGCAGGATGTAATGCTGTCTCGAGCTATGTTCTCTTCTTTTCTCTCCTTTTCTTTTTTCACGTTCTTCTTCCCTTTACTTCCTCTCACTCACTACTCATCTTATATTTTTCCACAGAGGATATCTTGCTCCGGAGTATGCCTTGTTAGGACAGCTTACAAAGAAGGCGGATGTATATAGCTTTGGGGTGCTTATTCTCGAAATAATAAGTGGCAGCAGCAGTAGTAAGTCAGCATTTGGTGAGGATATGCTGGTTCTGGTGGAATGGGTAGGTTTTGAACTTCTTTCATCAGTTACAGTATTTGGAGGTGACTTAGATCAGGAAGGTCATCTTGTCACATATTTTTATGAAAACTCAATAAATCCAACCAAAAATACTCAACATGAGAAAAGTTCCATGTTGTAGTATATGTACTTTGTTACTAAGGGCTAGCCCAGGGCACGAGGTTCCCACCATTGTAGGGTCTAGAGAGCTTATTTGTTAGCTCAGGGATTTTGTGTCATAGTTCATTATCAAGCCTAAAATTTCTTCAATTCTAGAGGAAATGCGGCTCTAGACATGCAAGGGAACTTGCATTTTTCCAGGAACATACTTTTGTTCTTAACCACCATGCAAGGTAGAAAACAAAGTGGCGTGCTATCTTAGTCGAATCATTGCAAGCCATGAGTTTTCAGTAATAGGAAATTGGAAGGATGAGTATTCCATTTGTCCTGAATGGAAACCATGAATCCCAAGGGGTTGGCCTAGTTGGAAAAGACTTGGGCCCTAGTGGCTCATGAAGCATTAGGTCTTAGGATCGATTTATGCTAGGTGCAAACAATTCGGGGCACGGCGCGGTTGAGTACTAACTAGTAAAAAAAAAAATGGAAACCATTGAGACCATATTGCCTTTGTAATTCAAGATGGTTATCTATTTCTAGTGTCTAGGTTATGCATTCCCGAAACATCACTTAGAGGCTCCATAATTTGAGCATAAGGTATAAGGTTCGACTCCTCTTGGGTGCAAACAATTCCTGGGGGGTGGGGTACCAACTAGGAATTGCTGGTCACTTTATTAGGGACAAGCTGTTGCCTTAGTTGAGGACAGATTTCATTGGCATCCCTGAAGGGGGATATTGCTTGAATTGTCTCCCAATTCACATTTATGGGTTAGAGAAAGGAAGAAAGAAGGCTGGCACTATACATCATGGAAGACTTTTAGTATGGACTTTGTCCTTGGGTTATCCAGGACAGGTGTACAGTTAGTTATGGTGGTGGTGAGATTTCAACAATAGCCCACTCTATTCTTGGAAATAAGATTGATGATAAGGAGTTTGTTAGGCTACATGGGTTGTTGACTAACATACAGTATCTTTTAGCTGACAAAATTCCTCCAAAATTACCGCAAAATGGGTTTTAGTCATTCTTATGATTGTTACAAGTTATTATCTCTTTTTATGTCCTAAATGAAATATGAATGTTGCTGCAGACATGGAAGCTGAGAGAAGAAGGAAGGCTTCTAGACATTGTTGACACGGAACTGGCTGAATACCCCAAGGATGAGGTTTTGCGGTTCATGAAAGTTGCGCTCTTTTGTACCCAAGCAGCTTCTCACCGTAGACCCGCCATGAAGCAGGTAGTGGAGATGCTTTCCAAAGAGGTGAACCTGAATGAGAAGTTGTTAACAGAGCCAGGAGTATATAGGACGCATACCTCTCGGAGTCGGCAATTGAGTGGCAGTGCTTCAGAGGAAGCATCATCCTCCCAGGCATATAAAGGCAAGCAATTTGTAGATGATACTTTTGCAACTACAACCCAATTAAGTATTTCCGACAGTGTGACACAGATGTTTCCAAGGTGAAGATAAGAGTGACTAAAGGATTAGGGTTTTGGAGATGAATGTTAACGAGTGACTAAAGGTAGGATCTTGTGATCAATGGGCATTAGTCCGGATAGTTTGATATCTCCTCCCCAAAGGGGAGGTTGACGAGCCTTGTTAGGGACAATATCGTGGTGTGAAGTGTGCATTTGAAATGTTGATTTACACTTCTCATCAGGAAATTCATTGCAGCTGCACATTTTCTTGCCAACTTGGCTATTCAACGAATATCAAATGCCTTTTTATGTAACATGAGCCATATCATGAGGATTAATTGCATATTGTTAGAGTAGATTGTATTTTTATTGAAATGTTTTCGTCAATATAAATTTGCCCTCGCTATGTATATGATTGGACCATTGTACATAAAGTTCTAAGCTTCGTAGTTCATATTCTTATTGTAGGAAATAATCAGCCCACCAAGCAGAGGATTCTACTACCATCAGGCTATAGTCTAATGGTATCTACTATATCTCTACCTTCTGAACTGAAAAATTAGAGTTTGAGTTTTTGCAGGAAAAATGATCAAGTGAGTTTTTTGCCAATTTAAAAAAGATACAATCCAGGTAGTGCCACGAATTTTTATAGAATTGCAACTTGAGTAAAGTTTCTGTTGACTCTTTATAAGTTTTCTAAATGAGATTGATCTGTTGAGTTTTGATTTAAGTGGGGGTAGAGATGCGACAATCCAAATTTTTAAGAGTTAAAATTATATTTATTTCATAATTTTTAATCGTATCTAAAATTTTAATTTGTAGATTTATCCAATTAAAATGTTTAATGGATTGGAATTAGTTTTTGTTGCTATATATATTATGATGTCTGATGCAGATGGAGGGAAGCAAAATGGAAGCTTCCAGCCGAATAGAAGAAATAATGAAAAATTGTGATGGTTTTGGTGCGGGACCCACGAGATATTTTGTGGGTTTGATTTTTTTTTTTTTGTCATTTGTGGGTTTGATTTAGTTGGTTATTTTTGTGTATATATATATATATATATATATATATATTTATTTGATGGAATGAGTGAAGAGAAGGAGAGCAGGTGCCGAAAATGATAAAGAGAGAGGAAAGATATTTTGATTATGATTTGTTTGCTGAAAGAGAAGGCAGCCTAGAAATGAAATTGTGATGATGTGTTGTATTGGCGGCTCACTTGATATTTAAGGAATTGGTTAGTTTGTTGCATATATTATATATATATATATATATATTGTATCTGTTGGATAAGGAGGGAAAAGGGAGCCAGCCGAAGTAAGGAAAAGAAAAGAAACTTTGATGATTCGCGGGGCCTCCTGGGTGACTTTTTGGGCAAAATTCCTTTGGCCTTGGTTCATGCACGTGGCATTGTATGGCTGTTGGAGAAGTAATGGGTTTGAGTTTGTTCTATTACAATTGTATATTATATATATATCTATATAGATATATATATGTAATGTCAGATGGATTTGTGGCTGCCGAAGTAGGAGGTGATATGATGTTGGTGTTGGGAAACGTGCAAATTTTAAGAGGAATTTTGATTCATAAATCTTGATTCATCATATAGAGACAAGTTTTATACAAAAATAAAAATATGATGTATCATGTAATTAATGGATTGAATACTTACATCAAAGGTCTGAGTAAACCTTTAAATCTTTCCTCTAAAGTGAATGTTCTCACTTATAGTAGATCCCTTAGCAAGATGCCTTTTCCTCAGATCTCTATCTTCTTGATAATTGTTTTGCCTTTAGGAATCACTCATAAACCTCCATGAATGACCTTGGAAAATTAAGCTTGTAGGAGCCTCCATTAGATGAGAACATAAACCCTAATTTTTTAGAGAGAGAAAATTTATTCCTTTTTCCTTATTTCAAAAATCACACCCAAAATATACATAAACCATGTATATTTATAGGCAACATAAAAATAAAGAAAAGGAAATAACAAATCCTTCGCAATCTCTAATTCATATGTTTCAAATTTAATATGATTCCAATATTAAATTGGGCTATGAGTGAGAATCCATTAGGCCTATTATTTTATTGGCTACAATGAATTAATAATCGGCCCAGTCTATGGACCCAATTCAATTAATTCATAAATTAATTTCTACTCCACTAAAAGAAATTAATTGAACTCCAATTAAATAATAAATAACCTCTAAGTCAATATTACACTTTGACCCCTCTATTCTTAATTAGTTATCGGATAAATAAAGCCATCAATCCGACTACTTAATTAATATATTTATTTTGGTACCATTGATTATTTCTGGCTCGATCACAATAAAACATTTGTTTGACAAAAATAATAATTTAAATAAATAAATATATAATAAATCATTTTGTCTAAAAACAAATGAAGGCCTTCGAATTTACTTTGTGATCAATCATAATCAATACAAAATAAATACAAGTAGCAATGATGCAAATATTGAAAATATAACCATCTAATTATTAATTACATAACTATCCAAAGTGTCGGTCTAAGGATCCCGAAGAATTCGCCGAACAAATCAAAGTAATTATTAATTAATAAAAGAGTTTATAATTTTCTCATGCTTAAGAGTCAAATGTCTGCTTAAGAGTCAAATGCCATGACGGTGATAGGGAGCAATTGCATACGACGGTTCTCGCAATATATCTCAACCTAATGCGGATCCAGTTCAAATCTTAATTAATTATGAGTCCATCCATAATTACCGACTATGAACCATTTATGATTACTATTTATATATCATGCATTGATTGCCATTACATACATATATATAAATATCTCTTGTAATCAAATGGACACTATCAATTCTATAATGAATCGAAATATAATACATTGTATTCACCAATTGTATAAAACATAAATATTTCAGAAACGTCAGGAACATATGTCACTTTAATCCAAACAGGAATTTGCTATGCCAGGGCATATAAATCCCAACAGCTCCCACTTGCCCTCATAGCCAATTCAAATTGCACCTAACTCCAATGTTATCCAGATGATGATCAAAATTATTGATCAATCACACCTTTGATAATGGATCAACAAAGTTGTGTTCCAATGCAATGTTCTAGCTACAAGTACATTTTCTTGCCGGACAATATCATGTAGAACATGATACTTCCTCTCAATGTATCTTGTTCCTCTATAGAACCTTGAGTCATTGGTTTGGACTACTTTTGCACTATTGTCACAACATAGCTCAATAGGCAGGCTAGTATACTCCACAACCTCCAAATCAGTGAGATCAAACCAATAGGCTTCATTTGCCGCCTTTAAGGCTGCAATATATTCTACCTGTACGTTTGAGTCAGCAGTTGAAATCTGCTTAACAATCTACCAACTGATTTCCCTTCCATTAAGTGAACATACACTAAGTCATGAACCTCATAGTATCTACCTCTGATTGAAAATCAGAACTAGCATACCTGACTAGAACCATAACATCACATCCATAAATGAGTATGATATCCTCGGTCCTTCTTAGATACTTAATGATATTTTTCACAACAGACCATTTATCAAGTCCAGGATTGGACTGATATCATCTGACTATCCTTACAATGTAGCGGATGTCCTATTTGGTATAGACCATGGCATATATGAGACTCTCATATGCCGAAGCATATTGTTCCAGTCTCATTTGCTCAATCTCCTTTGATAGTCTTAAAAAACTACTTACTAGAGAAAGCAATCCATATCAATAAAGCAAGAACTCATTCTTTGAGTTATGCCTACCAAACCTGGTCAAAACTTTATCAATGTAGGATTATTAAGATAAGCCTATTTTCCTTTTAACTCGATCTTGCAAAAACTTGATCCTAGGAATATAGCTTATATCTTGAAAAATCCTTCATTTAAAAGTAATTGAACAACTACCTCTTTATTGATGACAAACCTTCCACATCATTCTATATGAGTAGGATGTCATCAATATATATAGAATCAGAAAATAATGATATTCCCTTGTACACTCATAATTTATTCACTAAGAAATCTTCTGGTATCTTTTTGTAGATTAACTTGCCTTCCATAAGAATCACCCTACTAAAAAGTTCTACAAGATCCCAAAATTTATTAGAATACATAGATTCCAACTCTGATTTCATAGTAACTCGCCAAAACGATCTGTATCCATATCGGTTCACGCTTCCGTGTAACTTACTGGGTCCAACTCATGTTTAACAGGGATGTCCATAATGGTCTCACCTAAAAACATGATTCTGTCGGATTAGATAATTATCCTCCCACTATATCAATGTACCGATGAAGGAATCTGTGTATTAGACGATACTGACGCATCAATAGGGAATTCATCTATAATTCTAAATCTCTATATTACGTGTGTTCATATGTGGTACATCTGGTACTCATACCATATTCTCTAACACTATGCTACTAGGTATGTGATTCATAATATGATTCTCCTATAGATAAACAGTGAGTGTAAACAATCAACTTTTATCATTGAGATCATAAAATAATCCGTCCTAGTGACTTTTAGAGTAGCTATCAAATCTATCATGCGTATGATCTGTTTCCAACTTACTTGTCCATATCAAGCGCACATGTGCAAGACTACCCCATATGCGCATGTGATTCAAACTAAGATTTAGTAAAAAACACAGCTCAACGGTATCCTTGAGACAGACTAAGATGGAATGCAGTTCATAATGCGCATCGGTGTCATTAACGCTAAACTCTTAAATGAAAGAGATAATGTAGCATAATTGATCATAGATCTAACCATGTTAAGTGGAATTCTGTTATTCCTATTTGACACCTAAATGCATTTGGCGTCAATTGCGGAAAACTGGTACACAACACCCTCATTGACCATATAGTCTTTGCACTATCCCAAGAAATACTCATTTCCTCAATCAGATCGAAGTATCTTGATAAGTTTATCTAATCTGTGCTCCACGTCAGTCTTGACCTTCTCAGAATATACCAAGAGTTTAAGACTTGTGTTGCATCAGATAAACTTATCCAAAACGTGAGTAATCTTGCTTGGATGTTCATAAGACCACACGTGTCAGTGTGTACTGACTCCAATTGTCCTTTATGTCTATTTCATTTGGCTGATTAAGCCCTTAGAGTTATCAATCCTTCAAAACAGGATTCACAAGTTTGGTTTAGACTCCTCTGCCTCACTAGGTAATTAACCTTCTTTGACCAATCTTTGAATCTCATTTTGACTGATTACAACCCAAAAATAGACACTAAAAATACAATGAGTCAGGAATAACAATTTTTCTCTTAACATTCAATCTGTAAGATGTAACATTAGTTTCTACATCCTGCAAATCTTAAGAGTTTGTGATTATAGTATATTAACCATCTTTCAATACACCAGAAGTAATCGCATATCTATTCAATTTTATAAAACCAATTTTACAAAATAACAACACAGTTT